TTCTTCCTCTTGAATTTTTTGGAATAGTCTGAGGAGAATAGGTTTTAGTTCTTCTTTGAATGTTTGGTAAAAGTTTCCTGTGAAGCCATCTGGCCCTGGGCTTTTGTGTGCTGAAAGTTTTTTGATGACTGTTTCAATTTCTTCCCAAGTCACTGGTTTATTGAGGTTTTTAGATTCTTCCTGATTGAGTTTTGGAAGGTTGTATTTTTCTAGGAATATGTCCATTTCCTCCAGGTTGTCCATTTTGTTGGAATAGAGTTGTTCGTAGTATTTTGTTACAATCCTTTGTATTTCGGCGGGGTCTGTTATTTCACCTCTTTCGTTTCTGATTTTGTTTATTTGGGTCCTCTCTCTTCGTTTCTTGGTTAGTCTTGCTAGAGGCTCATCAATCTTGTTTATCCTTTCAAAGAACCAGCTCTTGGTTTTGTTGATCTTATGTATTGTTTCTTTGGTCTCTATGTTTATCTTCGCTCTGATTTTTATTATTTCCTTCCTTCTGCTTACACTGGGTTTTTCTTGTTGCTCTTTTTCTAACTCTTTGAGTTGTAGAGTTAGATACTTTGTTACCATTTTTTTTCTTGTTTTTGCAATAGGCTTGTAGGGATATAAACTTCCCTCTCAAAACTGCTTTTGCTGTGTCCCATAGATTTTGGATTGTTGTGTTTCCATTGTCATTTGTTGCCATGATGTTTTTAATTTCTTCCTTGATTTCTCTAGTAACCCAGTCCTTGTTTAATAGCATGCTGTTTAATCTCCATGTGTTTGATTTCTTTGGATTATTTTTATTGTAGTTAATTTCCAGTTTTATTCCACTATGATCTGAAAAGATGCTTGATATGATTTCTGTCTTCTTGAATTTGAAGAGACTATGTCCCAACATGTGGTCTATCTTTGAGAATGTCCCATGTGCACTTGAGAAGAATGTATATTCTGTGGCTTTGGGGTGGAATGTTCTGAAGATGCCGATTAATTCCATCTGGTCTAGTGCATCATTTAGGATTGATATTTCTTTGCTGATTTTTTGTTTAGATGATTTGTCCGAAGGTGACAGTGGGGTATTAAAATCTCCTACTATGATTGTATTGCTATTAATTTTTTTTAAATGTTTTTGGGTGCTCCTGTATTGGGTGCATATATGTTTACCAGGGTTATTTCTTCTTGATGGATTGCTCCCTTTAGTATTATGAAGTGGCCTTCATTATCTCTTGTTATGTCCTTCACTTTGAGGTCTAATTTGTCCAATATAAGTATTGCTACCCCAGCTTTTTTTTTTTTTTTTTTTTTCATTTCCATTCGCCTGGAAAACCTTTTTCCATCCCTTCACCCTCAGTCTGTGTGTGTCTTTTTTTCTGAAGTGGGTTTCTTGTAGACAACAGATATATGGGTCTTGTTTTCTTATCCAATCTGTTACCCTATGTCTTTTGATTGGAGCACTTAATCCATTTACATTTACAGTTATTATTGATAGGTACTTACTTGACGCCATTTTTATTCTGTACCCGTGTTCCTTCTTTGTTTCCTATTTCTTTATTTTTACAGTAGACCTTTTAGCATTTCTTGCATTGCTGGTTTGGTGGAGATAAATTCCTTTAGTCTTTTTTTTTGTCTGTGAAGCTCCTGATTTCACCTTCAATTTTGATTGATAGCATTGCTGGGTACAGTATTCTTGGATTCAGACCCTTCCTTTGCATGACTTTGTATATTTCATCCCATTCCCTTCTGACCTGATGAGTTTCTGTTGAGAAATCAGTTGCTAATCTGATGGGAGTTCCTTTATATGTAACTTTCTGTCTCTCTCTAGCTGCTTTTAAGATTCTTACTTTGTGGTTGGTGTTTGCCAGTTTAATTATAATGTGTGTTGGCGTCGGTCTTTTGGGATTTTGGGACTCTGTGAGCATCTTGGATTTGTGTGGGTTTTTTCTTCTCTATCTCAGGAAAGTTTTCTGTCGTTATTTCTTGAAATACATTTTCCATGTCTTTCTCAGTTTCATTTCCTTCTGGAACCCCTATTATTCTAATATTGTTTTGTTTTGTATTGTCCCAAAGTTCCCTTAGGCTCTCCTCCTGCTTTTTAATTTTTTTTTTCTAGAAGCAGCTCTAATTGTTGTTGTTGTTGTTGTTTTTTTGTTTTTGTTTTTGTTTTTATCTTGTCTTCTAGCTCACTGATGCGGTCCTCTGCTTCTGCTAGTCTGCTCTTGATGCTTTCTATTGAATTCTTCATAGTAGCGATGTCATTTTTCATTCCTTTTTTTTTTTTCTTTTTTCTTTTTTACATATATTTTATTGATTTTGCACAGAGAGGAAGGGAGAGATAGCTAGAAATGTCGATGAGAGAGAAACATTGACCAGCTGCCTCTTGCACACCCCCTACTGGGGATGTGCCTGCAACCAATGTACATGCCCCTGACCGGAATCGAACCTGGGATCTCCCAGTCCGCAGACCGACGCTCTACCACTGAGCCAAACCGGTTTCGGCTTTAATTCCTTCTTGATACATCTTCATTTCTCCTTGGTTCTTCTTCATTTCCTCTTGAGTCTTACTCATATTGTCAAATTTGTCTTCCATTCTTTTCAGCCATCTTATGATCATTACTCTGAATTCTTGCTCTGATAGGTTGCTTGCCTCTAACTCGTTTACTTTTCTGGTGATGCGTGCTTTTCTTTCATTTGTGATCTGTATCTTTGTCTCTCCATGGTCTCTCTTTTCAGGATGTCTGGTTATATTGATTTAAAGGCACAAAATACAACACAACCAGGTTGTGATGATTAATTTACATATTACTCTTTTATTAGGTAGGATGTGCAGGTCCTCTTAATCCCAGTCTAATGCCTTACTGTTGTATTTGATATCTTTCCAAACTATTTTATAAAATGTTAAAATACCCTGTTGCTGAGTTATTTTAATCAGTTAATGTTGAATAACATGAACCTGGGCTATGAAATTGTGGTAATTAACCAGGAAGTGTTATCAGTATTTACTTTATATTTCTTTTAAAGTACTATTTTTTAAAACGCAAGTGAATAGTTTCTATTTTTTTAAGGGCAAATATTTGGAGAAAATATTTATTTTGAATTGAGATTGTGGTTGGTTACAATTAAGTGATATGACTAGCATTATTGATTTTTTAAAATATTATATGGTAAAGCTCAAATGCAGCTATCTTTCTGTTAGGCCTTTAAATACTAAAGGTGGTTTGGGTTACTTCCATACCTGTTTCCATAACTTTTTCTAAAACAATAGCCTTCATTTAGCTTCATTTATTTAGTCACAGGTCTGTAATGTGTACAGGCTGTGATAAGAAAGACCCATTTCTTTCTCTTAATTACTTTTGGGGTATAATTAACAATATATGAATTTTCAGTGTACAACATAAATATTTGATTACTTGTATGTAGTATATTGCAAAATGATATCTGTAGTAAGTCTAGTTAACTGTCACCATATGTATGGAGTTTTTTTTAAATAAGAAATTTTAATATCTTAGCCACTTTCAAATATTCAGTATATTATTATTATTGTTATTTTGTTCATCTTCACCTGAGGATAATTTTTCTATTGATTTCCAGAGAGTAGAAATTAAGAAGGAGGCCGAGAGAGAAACGTGGATGTGAGAGAGACACATCAGTTGGTTGCCTCTGGGAGGTGCCTCATCTAGGGCCAGGGAACAAACCTGCAACCAAGAAAGGTCCCTTGGGTGTCAGTCAAACCTGAGACCCTTAGGTGAGCAGACAGACGCTCTACCAATGAGCCACACTGACCAGGGCTATTTTTAACTGTGGTTACAATGCTGTAAATTACATTGCTGTGACTTACGGGTGGAATTTTTTACCTTTGATTGCCTTCACCCAATTGTTTTCATAATTAGCAAATCCACGTCAATAGAAAAGTTGGTAGCAAAGCAAAATTTTAAAAATATAGTTATTCCTCAATTTATTAGCACAAAACAAAACTTTTACATTTTTACTTTAATGTTTATTTTTGGGGGGAAAGTTATAAAGAGACAGATATATTTTGAATATTTTTCTTCATATAGTATAGATCCGTGTTCAGCAAACTGCGACTCGAGAGCCACATGCGGCTCTTTGGCCTCTTGAGTGTGGCTCTTCCACAAAATACTGTGGCTGGGCGAGTCTATTTGAAGAAGTGGCGTTAGAAGAAGTTTAAGTTTAAAAAATTTGCCTCTCAAAAAAAATTTCAATCGTTGTACTATTATATTTGGCTCTATTGACTAATGAGTTTGCTGACCACTGGTCTAGGCCAAAAGGTACAGAGAAAAACCTTTCAGGCTACCTTCCAAAATAAGTGCTAAGAGAGGGACAGATGAGGACTTTTTACTTTTCCTTGCATTTACCCAAAGATTTCGCTAAGTTTTGTTACTTGCTTTTTGTTGGGAATACTGAATTTTTAGGAGCTTTATAAAGTACAGTAATCTCACTGACTTAAAATGGATTTATATGTTTATTTTACCTTGAAAAAATTATGCTAGATGTCCTGACTGGTTTGGCTCAGTGGATAGAACGTCAGTTTGTACTGAAAGGACCTCCCTCTTCCCCCATGGGTTCGATTCTGGTCGAGGGCATGTGCCTTGGTTGTAGGCTTTTATCCCCAGTAGGGGGGTTTGCAGGAGGCAGCTGATCGGTGTTTCTCTGTCATTGATGTTTCTAGCTCTCTATCCCTTTCCCTTCCTATCTATCAATATAAAAAGTCAATAAAAACATATTTAAAAAAAAAAGCAACTTATGCTAGAACTTGTCCCCCTTGTTTTAATTAACTAGTTTGGAATAAGCCAATTCTCAGTTTGCTTTCAACTTTAGAAGATGGTAATTTTGGTAGATGGTATTAATACCTTTGTGTTTTATAAGTTATTAGTAATTGAATTATCAAAGATGATTATTATAATAGTGCATGCAGTTAAATTTACTTTTATAAAAGTATGAAACAGAATAATTATAACTGTGTTGAATAAATGTAATACTCCTCTTTTGAAATATTTCAACAGGGTTACATAACAAACTCATCACGAGTTGCATCTAATAATTCTACAGAGTTGCTGTTTGACTTGACCCAGGATACAGGATTATCACATTACCAAGGGGGACCGACACTTTCTATAACAGGTTGGTTTTAGTACTTTTTCAACAAATTATAAAAAGAAACTTGGTGAATATGCATATGAAATTGATTTTCTGTTTGAAGTCTTTTTCTTCATGTTTAGTTTTTTATAAAGTAAGGTAGAATAGTGCTAATCTTGAATGCTTTTCTTGGGTCATTTTAAATCTTATTTAATGATAGCATATTTTACTACCTCCTTTTAATTAAGTAGGCTAATTGACTTTGAGATTGTTGTTCACTTGCATTAAACATGCACTGAAAATAATTTCCTTAAGTTAGAGAAGTCCTTTGATAACCTGAATACTCTGTTAAAGGAAGTACTAATTACCTTCTATGATGACGAGTGTAAAAAAGTAATTATAGTTAATGTTTTAATTAGCTTAGTGTCTTTCTACTAATTTAATGATTGACGTGATAAATATGATTATAGAGTGCTGTTATAAAGTGGTTATAATAAATTTGTATATAGTTAGTATTTGTTAATTAGCTTTTGAAGGAGTAATGAAATGTCCCTATTGAAGATGAGTTAGAGTTCTTCGATGATATATTAACTAGGGGCCTGGTTCATGAAATACCTGCACTGGGTGAGAGGTATCCCTCAATCCAGCCTGCCTCCTCTCACAGCCTGGACTGGGAGCCCTCAGGGGATTTTCTAAGCCGAAGTCTAGCCTCCCTCTTTGGGAGGTGAGCAGGCTGAGCAGGTGAAGGCACCAGCCCCATCACCCTGCTTCCACAGCCTCTGCCAGCCACCACAACTGCCAAGGTGTTTTCATCAACACAGACTCCAGTCCCTTCACCATGAAAAAATGACAACTTACTTTAGGCATTTTCAAGATGTGTCTTTCATAGGATATGACATTTCTTTTTTTCTTTTTTAAATCCTCAACTGAGGATATGTTTCAATTGATTTTTAGAGAGTATTGAAGAGAGAGAGGGGGCGAGACAGAGAGAAACATCAGTGTGAGAGGGACACTTTTGATTGGTTGCCTCCTACATGAGCCCTCACATGGGCTCTGGCCAGGGAGGAGCCTGCAACCCAGGTACATGCCCTTGATCAGAATCGAACCTGGACCCTGCTGTTGGTAGGTGGGGCTCTATCCACTGAACCAAACCGGGTAGGGCAGGATATGATATTTTTTAGCCCCTCCAACAGCAGACCTTCATTATTTTTCTCCAGGAGTGTGGAAAAACTGTAGATCACCTTCTTGGATTCTTACTACCCAAGTTCCCAAGAATACCACAAGTTGCTATGTACAGGGAGCTTAGCCAATGAGCGGTCAGAAAAGGTGTTTACGCTCAAACTGTTTTGGCTCACTGGATAAAGTGTTGGCCTGCAGACTGAAGGGTGCCAGGTTTGATTCCTATTAAGGGCATGTACCTTGGTTGGGGGCACATCCCTAGTGGGGAGTGTGCAGGAGGTAGTTGATCGATGTTTCTCTCTAATCGATGTTTCTGACAGTCAATCCCTCTCCCCTCTTCTCTGTAAGAAATCAATAAAATATATATTTTTTAAAAAGAAAAGCTGTTTCCTCTGTAGCCCATGCTCAGAGGATCCCCTGCATTGTGTCCACTGGGCTAGGGGTGTGCCCCGGCTGCCAGGGGGGAGGCCCTGCATTCACTGTTTTTTCTGGACTAGGGTTTGTGGACCTGGGCCGCTTATTGCTTGCGCTTGGTGCTCCCTGCCGCTTGTCCTGGGACCCAGCCCAGTTGACGGCCCTGGCCACTCGTCCCATGACCTGGGCTGATTGGCGCTAGCTCCTGTAGGCCACTGGTGGCCGAGGAAGTTCTGGGACCTCAGCCGCTCAGGGCCTAGGCACAGGCCTACAGACTCGGAGATGCCTGGGTCCTGAGGATATTCTGGGGATCCAGGCTACTCCATGCCCATGTATGCAAATTAACCTTTCATCTTTGTCAGGTTACTTTGCATAGTCACTCCTGATTGGCTGATGGGCATCGTGGAGATAAGATCAATTTTCATTTTTCTCTTTTAATGTAGATAACAAAAAACTTCATTAATCTATAATAAAGTAGTTTGCTATGAAAGATTTTTATATAATTGAAAATTGCCTGTAATTAAAGCAGTTATGCTTTGTATATTAGCAATTTTGAAATATTTCAAATATTTGACCAAATAGAGATACACAAGATTTTTTGGACTTTTTAAGTTATTTTCTAACAAATCAATGTAGAAAATTTACCAAACCTCTCTCAATGTTTTAATAGTAATATTAGTGCCTAAGATGCTTTTCTGTTTAGATAATACTTATTTGATACTCACTTCTTTGGGTGTCACTTACTTGTGATACTTGTAGAAATCTAGTTTTTAAAATAGATAGGAACCAGCTTTGGCCCAAAACAGTTAGAGCTTTGTCTCAATATGCTAAGATTGCAGGTTGGATCCCTTGAAAGGGCACATATAAGAATCAACCGATGTATCTATATAAATAAATGGAACAACAAACCTCTCCCTCTCTCTCCCCTTATCTCCCTTCCCCTTCCTCTCTCAAGTCAATCCATAAAAATAAAAAAATAGGTAGGAACCAAAAGGAACATGGGAAAAAAAATAGTTATCTTAAGTCAGGTTTTATAAAACACATGGACTTTATTCATAGGAAAGGTCTGAATTCTTGAAACTTCTTGCAGTAATGACAGTAGCACTTACTCTTTAAGTTTCCTACTACAGAAAGAGTTCAGCCTGAGCACTAAGTAGGATGATTTAGAAATGTTAGTCTTGAGATTTTCGTAGTCTTTATCAAGTCTTTACACTTTAGTTTTTTTCATATTAAAATGGAACTCTTGTTTTTCTTATTTAGTGCATTCTCTAGATGTGGAATCAACCATTTGGAGATAAATTTTTAATTCTTTCTCTATTTTAGTCGGGGCTTTTTGAAGTACAAAATAAGTTAAAATGTGAAAATGCATTATGAGCTTTAAAGGACTTGACAACAGATAGTTGCTGTGAATGACAATATGTGCTGTGTGTTCAGTAGCATGATTAACTGACCACTGTTAGGTAGTCACGAATGCTGGAGATTAGATTTGAACTTGATCTTGAATGAGAATAGGATTTTTTACTGGCAGAGAAAGGGCTGTTGAGTATCGGAAACAATATAAACCAAAAACAACAGAGATAAATAAGTTAAATGGTCAGAATTTAAAACTCTTAAATGCAGAGGGATTTTATTTCTTACATTAAAAACGTTTTTGAAATAAAACAGTTTTATTTCTATTGTTCAGCCTGTTATATAATCAGATGCTTAATCCAAAATACAGTATTCATTGGCTTTTCAAGTAACTTGAGCATCTTATGAGAATGCTACTGTGATTAAAAAATATTTCCCAGGTCCCCAGTATAGCCATTAGTAATTATGTGCTTTGAAGATGGAAAAAAAATCATTTTTATGTTATCTTGAAGGATGAAACAGAGGAGCCAATTAATATAATGGCTTATTTTTCTGACATGTTTCCCCTTATTAAAAAGCAGATAGGTAAATCTATTAGAATAATTTTTTTCTTCTAAAGATCTGAAATATTTTTTAGTAATGATTATATCTATTATTTATTACTGAATGGTTTCTGTGTGACAGCTATTGTGTTGAGTACTTTAAATGCTCTATCTTATTTTATCTTAAAACAGCTTGCTCTGTAAAACAAGGTGAAATAACAAAAGAGGAAATTGAGGCTTAGAGAAGTTAATTAAATAAGGCAAGAATACATATAGCTAGTCAGTGACAGAGTATGGAATATTTATTCTTTTATTTCCAATTGTAAATCATTATTTTTCTATTATAATTGACATATATTAGTTTCAGGTGTACACCCCAGTGATTAGACATTACATAACTTACTAAGTGATCATCCCAATAAATCTTGCTCCAATCTAACACCATACATACTTCTTAGAATATTGGATGTATGCTATGCTTTATGTCTTTATGTCTATTCTGTAATAACTAATTTGTATTTTTTAATCCTTTCACCTTTTTCACTCTCATCCCCAACCCCATGACACTGTCAATCGTCAAAATGTTCTCTGTATCTGTTCTGCTTGTTCGTTTATCTTGTTTTTTTGTTTTAGAGTCAATTATTGATAAATTTGTACTTATTGCCATTTTATTGTTTATATATTTTATGTATTTTTTCTTTTTCTTCCTAAACAAGACCCAAACGTTTCATAGAGTACTAGTTTAATGGTGATAAACTCTTTTAGTTTTTCCTTGCCTGGGAATTCTTTATCTGTCATTTTATTCTAAAAGGGCCTCAGTGCACTTTGAAAGGAACTGTAGGCTGCAAGGCTGTGGTGGGCACAGGAGTGGGTCTTGGCCCATCCTCTGCACCCCCACCTGGCCCCTCCTGCCGCAGTCCCCAGTCTCCTCTATGCTGGCAGCTCTGCTTCCATTGCCGCCGCTCCCTGTGCTGACAGCCCCGCTCCCACCCACTGACAGTGCAGAACGATTGAGTGGGTGCAAGTGGAGCTGGCGGCTGCTCTGGTCCTGGCATTGGGTGTGAGAGGTGGCTGCTGCCCCAATCACCCCTCAGGAACGGGTTAGGTGGTGAAGCCCTGAGGGGCAATTGGGGCCAGCAGCAGCCACTCACACCCACTGAAGGCACCGAGCGATTAGGGTTGGCCCTGGATGCAGGTGTGAGCATCGGTTCTGGGAGTGGGTGCAAGTGGGGCTGCTGTTGGCAGCAAGTGCGAGCACCAAGTGGAACCACGGCATGTGGGAGTAAAGAATTTTCAGTAACCGCCGGAGGCTTGCCCCAATAATAGTGACTGGTGCCCTGCCTTGGTCTGGCACCCCTGCTCACCTGCTCCACCATCCTTCTGTGGCCAACGCCTGCCATGTTCCATGTTCTGCTGCCTGCTGCCAACACCTGCTGTGTTCTGTGCATGTCCCCTGGTGGTCATCGCTCATCATAGCAACTGGTTGTTTGGATGCTCCACCATTCAGCCTATTTTCATATTAACCTTTTATTATATAGAACTTGAGGCCTGGTGCATGAAAAGTTATGCACTGGAGCGGGAGGGGGGGGTTCCCTCAGCCTGGCCTGCACCCTTTCACAGTCTGGGAGCCCTCAGGTGGGGGAATCCCACTCAGCAGGGTGTGTAGCTTCAGGTCCCCTATCACGGCCCGCCAGGTGGGGGGCGGGTGTGGCCTCGGGTCTCCCAGTGCTGGGGCGAGGTGGTCATGGCCTCAGGTCTCCCGGTGTGAGGGTGTGACAACCATTTGCATATTAGCTCTTTATTATATAGGATGATAGTTTTGCTTTTCCTTACTTTGAATATTTCTTGACAATCCCTTCTGGCCTGCAAACTTTCTATTGATAAATTATCTAACACAGTCTTAATGGGAACAATGCTGGGATATTTCTGATATATTTACTTTATTTATTCTACTTTTAGTGTATAATGGGGAGCATTAAAATATGATGTGAAGGTTTTGAGTTCTTATTACCAAGAACATTTGTATGTTATGTTCAGAACTTTTACGAGGCCTAAATTTTCTCATTTTCTTGATAATGCTCAGAATAAGACTAATAGCTCTTAGATTTAAGGTGATAGTTTTTAAACTAAAATTCTTTTTAGAAATGAAATATTTGTACAAACATTATTTTATGTAACAGTCTTATAAAAAAAAAAAAAAAAAAGGTCAGTTTCCCAGTCAGACATGTCCAATTGTCCCTAAGAGGAGCCCATGAAGCTCTGGGAATAACTTCAAAACTTAACTCCTTTCATTATGAGTCCTTTTGTATGAATGAGTGAATTGTCACTCAAGAGAAGTTGATTTCACTTTGGAATAAATGGATAACTTGAAACCATGAATAGAATACTTCTTTGTTAGATGGGAAAAGAACTTTTCATTAAACATTTTAAGTTGTTAAATCAAAAGTTTGTAAAGAGTCTCTAAATGTTTAGAATAAAAGAAAAAAAAATTTAATATCCTTATCCATTTAAAGGTAATTCATTTGTAAAAAACTTAATTGGGAATATTCTCTGTGCTTCAATTTTAATTTTTTTCCTTGATAAATTTTGGTCTGACTTCTTTCAGCATAGATGTTTATATATTCAAAGTAATATTTTCTTGCATAGAAATATTTTATGAATTGAGTATATATAGACATTTGCATAATTTTTCTGACTTAATCACAACAATTTCTATAATTTATTGTCATTTTTAATATAATAATTTCGTTATAATAGCTTTACTTTAGCTCCAAAGTATTTTTATTTAATCATAAGCAATATTCTAAAGTGTTTAAAAATATTTTTCCACTGTTTAAATTATTGTAGGTGTGAATGAAAGTTCGTTATTACCAAAACGTCCTTGTACTTCTGAAGTAATCAGTGTTAATCCAAAAAAGTCTAAACCCAGTGAATGTGTTTCTGGAGCAAATTCCTTAGCTGTATTTCCTTCAGCTAAGTCTCTTTCAGTGACATCTCCCCAGGCTATGTCATCACAAGGTAAATATGAAATGTGGCATATAAGAAAGAAATATATACATACAATTTAGAAATTATAGTAAATTTACAAAATATTAGTGGTTATTTAAGGTTAAAAAGTGATAAATCTTGAACTATACATTTTGACTTTATTTTAGGTACAAGTAACTCAACTACTCAATCTAAAAATGGAACACCTTTTCCAAGAGCTTGTCCAAAGTGCAATATTCATTTCAATCTTTTGGATCCTTTGAAAAATCACATGAAGGTAAAACTTTTCAAAGTTTGATTTTAAAAAGGTTTGCAAATTTCTAAAAATATTGATTGATTTATAGTAATTAATGGTTTAGTTATTTAGATAAAAAATTCCTATTGATATTTCCATATAACAGAAAATAATGATTATATGAATAATGATTATTTTCATAGATTTTAATATTCCTTCTTAGTCATTAAATTAAAAAAAAATTAAGTTCATATACATCATAATGCACTAGAGGTCCAGTGCACAAAATCTTGTTCTCTGGGGTTCCTCAGCCCAGCCTGTGCCCTCTTGCAGTCAGTGAGCCCAGGGGGGATGTTTGACTGATGGGTAATAGGCCTAAATCATCAGTCGGACATCCTATTAGCATAGCCACAGAGATGGGGGAGGCTCCCACCACTGGCACTGTGCTTTGCCAGCTGTGAGCCTGGCTTGAGGCTGAGCAGCACTCCCCTTGTGGGAGTGCACTGACCACCAGGGAGCAGCTCGTGCATTCAGTGACTGCTCCCTGATGGTCAGTGCACGTAATAGTGACTGGTTGTTCTGTTCGGTCAATTTACATATTAACCTTTTATTATACAGAACTAGAGGCCTGGTGCACGAAATTCGTGCATGGGGGAAGGTCCCCTCAACCCAGTCTGCACCCTCTCCAATCTAGGACCGCTTAGGGAGGATGCCAGACTGCTTGTTTTGGCCCCATCCTGGGGATATCCCTCTCACAATCCTGAACCACTGGCTCCCAATTGCTTGTCTGCCTGCCTGATTACCCCTAACTGACTCCCTTGCCAACCTGGTTGCCCTTAACTGCCCCCCACTGCTGGCCAGGTCACCCCCAACTGCCCTCTCCCTGTCGCTCTGGTTGCTCATAACTGCTCTCCCCCCTAGCCCCCCTGCCTGCTGGCCTAGTTGCCCCTCACTGCCCCTCCTGCCAGCCTAATGTCTCCCAACTGCCCCTCCCCACTGTCGGCCTGGTTGCCCCTAACTTTGATTCCCACCCTCCTCCAGCTCGGTTGACTCTTACTGCCCCCCCCCCCCCCCACCACCACCACCACCACCAGCCTGGTTGCTCCCAACTGGCCTGGTTGCCCCTAAGTGCCCCCTTCTGCCATCCGGGTTGCTCCCAACTGCCCCCATTCCCCCTTACCTCCCTGCTGGGTTGGTTGCCCCACACAGCCTGCTTGTTCAGTCGTTTGTTCATCCCTCACTAACCCCCCCGCTGGCCTGGTCCGACACAGCCATCTTGTGAGAGCATGAGAGTCAGTTTGTATATTAACTCTTTATTATATGCGATGCTTATTGTATTCTAATTTTAAATAAAAATGCATTAATCATATTATTTTATTTACTAGAGTATGTCATGCTTCAAACGTTAAAAAGCTGACTTTTTTAATGTTAAATATTTTGTTTCTTCAGTTAATTTTGTGTCTATCCATGCCAGTATGTACATGACACAATGCAAATCAGAGTTATACATTTAATTTTCAACACTCAAACATAAAATTCACATGGTGAAGCATTTCATATAAAATAAATGTTTTAACTCAACCCAGAATATTGTTTGTGTAATTATTATAAAACAGTTTGAGCTTATTATTGGTACAGGAAGCTCTTAAAATATTAGATTTAAAAATTCTGCAAAGTACAGATGAAATGAGATTTAGATAATACTTCGCTTAAAATATTTTATTACATTTTATAGTATTCTGCTCTGTCCTTGTAAAGATAGCCTGTATTCTTCTTCATGCCCAGTTTAAATGTCAGGAAGAGTAAAAGGAAAGAAAAGGCAGTGTAGATTATATGAAGAAAAGGAAGGAGAAGGGTGCAATGGTAAAGAAATAACTAAGAGAAAGTTCTTTTTCACTTTCAGATTTATAAATTTTTACTAAAATTTGTTTTACAAAACAAGTAGAAAAAGGTATTATATTTGTAATAGTAAATTCACTATATTCATGTACAAAACCATTTTAACTGTCAGTACTTCCAGCTCCTAAATTGTAGACCCTGATAACTGTACTTTGTGCTTTGTTCTTATATGAGAACTAGAGGTCTGGTGCACAAAATTCATGCAGTTGGGGGTAGGGGGGGTTCCATAGTTAAAACTACTAGAAAGAAAACGACAGCTATGCTAGACCAAAAATATTGAACAAATATACTGGACAACACTCCCCCAACAAAAGAGCAAAACAACTTTATGAAATAAATACTTAAAAATATAAATCAAGAAAACTGCATTTAAAATAAAGGAAGACACCAATATAGAAGTTGAAAAAAACATGTATACTAAAGAAGAAATTGACCCAAAATTTATACTAATCAGTACCACGTCATGTTAGTATAAATTTATCAGTCTTTCAAAATAAAAAATCCTGTGAACAGCTAGGGCAAAACATAGAATTATTTATGAGCAGCAAACTCAGTACGGCTTATCCCAGATTTCTCAACAGCGGCATCAATATTGTAAAACAGGAGTACCACCCACAAGATCTTCAGATTAGGATTCAACTTACTTTATATCTGGCCAAACTATTTTTTTTGGTGGTGGTGTTTTTTACAAAAATGGAACACAGTGAACACGAAAGAACTCAAAGAATGCTGTTCCCAGGACCTTCTTCAGGAAATTACTAGAGAATGAACTTCAGCAAAACAAGTAGTTTTAACTCTTTCTTTAAAAACCAATTATATGTTTTTCTCATTACTAGCCCTTGCCAACTATTTTATTTTATTTATTTTATTTTATTTTACAGTGTCTACCGCTATATTCTGTTCTTTCTACTTTAAGTTGATTTTCAGCCTCAGTTTGTCTTCTTTTTGTCTTGTCATTTCCTCTTGCCCATGTGATCTTCCAAATAGCCACAATTGCTTTATTAAGTTTTTTACAAACTATATCAAAATTTTTAGCCTGTCAACCATCTTGCATGCATCTGCTCCAGTTTTCTGGTTAGAAATTTACATTTTCATTCTTTTTAATTTAAAATATTTTTGTTTACCAGTAGATATAAGTTACTATAATTGAACAAATTGGATTTCTTGGGCTAATTGTTTTGTGCAAGGCTCCTATTAAGGAGCATGGGTTTCCAGGCTAATCTCACAGCCTACTACTCTTTGCTGGACAAAAGGCTTTCTGAAAGTGTGTCTTGTGTGTCTGCTTTTATAAGTAGCATTGCCTTTCCTACTTCCTTTTACCAAATGATCTGGGGGACTTCTGCTATCCTCCTTGTGCCAGCACCCATACCCATTTTTGCAAACAAAGGATATAACTTTGGACTTCAAAATGTTTCTTTCACGTTTAGAATGTATATTTTTGCTGAGACTTTCTAAGATCTTCACTATTAGGCTCTTTGACTGAGTTGATCTACATCCAACTGCATGTCTTCTGTCTGAACTTGGCTTGCTTTGAGTAGTGCTTTCAATGTGTAGTCTGTGGAGTTTAGTCTGGCACTTAGTTTCAATGAAAACAAAAATTTTAAAATTTGGTTGCTGTGGCTTTTGGATGAATCCCAGAAGGAGAATGGGGGAATTTAGACTTACCTAGGATAATCATATGGGGAAGTACTATTTTACTATTTAAAAATGCTACTTCTTTGCTCTGAAAATCCTACCTAAATTTTTTAGTACTAGCAAAGTAACAGAACATGATTTATCAATGGACAGGAATAAGTAACAGATGGTATCTGCTGTTTGTCAAATTACAGTATATTGAAATAAAGTTTTTAATATTGCAGAATGTCTAACCCAGGAAAAGAAGGGATAAACCAGGGGCAACAGTGAAGGGCTAAGGTTTAATAAAGATGACCAATTGATCTTGGACCATAGGTCAGCCATGCATATCCTCCTATAAAACCTTAAATCAAACCTTAAATCAAGACCAGTGTCGGCACAACCTTAACTCTTAAACACTATTTTTTTTGTCCCAGTTTTTCAGTCCATTTTATTCAGTATTTTTTCCCCTCTTTTCGGTGTACTTCGGATTTTGTGGGCTTGGTTTTTGTTGGTCTCTTTTCTCTTTATAGGTTTTAGAACTGACAAGTGCACAAAATAAGTGCAATTGAAGGAAACATTATAGGTCTGCTTTGGCTCAAAGGCCCAGCTTCTCATGTGACACAGAAAGTTTCACTGATGATCTAACATTTCAATGTGACAGAAAGTGGATGTTGTTATCTTAGAAATGGAATAGAATTGCTTTTAGATTTTTAAACTTTCTGATGTTGCTATTAATTTACTAAACACATTTAGGAAGAGTTTAAGTCAGTAGGTTTATGTTTTAAAATAATTTCCTGGATGGCTATTAAAAATGCAGATTTTTAGGGCCTACCTCTTGACATTGTGGTTTATTGGTTTGAAGTGGGCCCAGGAATTAGCATTTTTGACAAGCATTTCTGATTTTTCTAATGTAGGTCTTCCTCTGAGAAAATCTGCTGTAGGAAAATTTTGCACTTAAAAATTATGTAAATAAATGAATTAGTTATATCTTGCTAAGGAAAAAAAGCTCATGTATGAAAGTGTTCCATATTAAAATCAGTTTTTGTAATATGCTGATTTTACTTATGAGGAATTAAATCTCCCCTTAAAATATTTAACCATTCTATATATCAAGATGTAACTGTTGGTGTTTTCAAGACATACTGTTACTTCTTTCTTTTTCACCATACATTGTACAGCACTTTGAGTATGAGAAATTCAGATCAGCTGTGTGCTCAATGTCCAGTTCCAACCACATATTATGAAGTTTACTATGTCTCTTAATAATTAACATATACATTATGACACATAAAACTACAATTTCTTTCTGGACTTTTTCTTGACATGGATATGAAATAAATGATTTTTAGTTTAGTTTTAATTAAAGTATTTATTATTAATAATACATCTGAAATGGTTAATTGCATGGAAGACACTTTAGATCAATAGCAAGTCCTGATTTTAAGGTTTTCTTTTTTTGAATTGTTTTAGACTTGTATATGCACCACAAACTTTTGGTGAATATTTTTCTAGCTACATTATCAAGCATTGTTTAACAATGTCTGGCAATGGATTTAAATGGGGGTATTTGTGTTTTTAAAGGGTAAAGGCTTTTTTTTTTCCCCTCTCTCTTTCAGTACTGTTGTCCAGACATGATAAATAACTTTTTGGGACTGCCTAAAACTGACTTTTCAAGTACAGCAGATAAAGATAACACTATTGATTCAGAGAAAGGAAAATTGATCATGTTAGTTAATGACTTTTATTATGGAAAACATGAAGGAGATGTCCAAGAAGAACAGAAGACTCACACAACCTTTAAATGCTTCAGTTGCTTGAAAATTCTTAAAAATAATATTAGGTATGTAAATACTTACTTTATTTCTATTTGAAAATTGGAATGCTGCAGATAAAATTTTTGTCTGTGCCATTCTAGGTATTTAACACTTTCTACGAAGAACAAAGGCAGAAAGATAAACTTTTAATTGCTTAAAGTTATAAGGTAAAATTTTAATGGCTCGTTTTCTCTATGTGTAAATATTTAGCCAACTCTAGGATTAAAACCAAAGATGGATAAAAAGATTTTTTAAGGAGTATCATAACCTATTTTAAAGAGAAGTGTTGTGAATAAGTGAAAAAGAGATAAATGTTATGACCTTCAAGAAGATTGCTATCCATATTGATGACATTATTTGTTTTAAGATTACTTCATTTAGGGACTCAAAGTGAATAATTGTTAATAGTTGCTCCAGCCTAAAAATTGTTATTTTGATTGAATAACTAAGCTATAAATAGCAAAAAGCTTCAATAAGCTCTTTTAAATAGGTATTCCCTTTTATACTGCACCCTCTGTTGTTGAAGGTCATAGTTCCTACTCATAAGAAGCCTTTTAGAGAAGCTGACATAGCAGATGTAAAACTAAAAAATGGACTTTGCCTACAAAGAGCACAGTCTACATGTTAACGTGAATAGTCTGTGCTAACAGTAAACCAGTATTATTAAATAAAACAAAAAGTTTTTATAATTGTAGGCATTAAAATTGCTAGTACATACATTTAGAAACTAAGACACAAGTAAAAATACCAGTAATTTGTCTTTTAAGCAACTGGAATCTATTGTATATCTTCTTGGCTTTAAAGGATTACTCTCATACCTGAGTAGCTGCTTTTGGTGTATTTCCTTCCTTTCAGTATTTTATTGAAAAATGTAAATAGTATTTCATCTGTGAAAAAGAAGCCTGCTGTTTCACCTTAAAAAACATTTTAATAATCTGAAATTATTAAATTACAGCAAGTTAGTGATATTTCAGATTAATTATATTAATGAATTTTTAAAACAAAGATTAAAAAAGATGTTTATGTAATCACTTAATGAAAGTGATTATTTAAAGTGCATACTTTTCTAGAGGAATTTAAGGCTTTTGGGATTTTCATGTAATATATGTATATTCTAAGATTCAGATAATTATTTGTGAGATTTTTGTTTTTAAATCTGAATTTTGCACCTGTTGACAATCATTTATAGGTTTATGAACCACATGAAACACCATTTGGAACTTGAGAAGCAGAGCAGTGAAAGCTGGGAAAACCACACCACCTGCCAACACTGCTACCGTCAGTTTCCCACACCATTTCAACTGCAATGTCACATTGAAAGTACACACACACCCCATGAATTTTCTAGTAAGTTACAGTTTCATTTTAAGTACTGAATATTACTGATTTTGTCAATATTAATTCTGAGAAAATCTTAAACTTGTTAGAACAATAAAAATAAGACTGGAATTTGAGGGTAAAATGGAAAAAGTTACATTTTGATTATTAAAAACTTTTAAATAAAATTACAAAAATTAAAGTCACTCTTGTAAATAATTAAGGACAATAACCTGCACATTATAAGTGGGGGGCTAAGTTAGAAGCCTTAGATCATAGTTTTCAAATATGAAATTAATGCCCTTTATTAAACTGGAGTCAGAAAAGGAACTAATAGTGGTAGTTAACAATCATAGATTTTGGAACTAGACCACTTGAGTTCAAATCCTAGATCTTCCTCTTAATACAGCTATCTGATCTCAGGCAAGCTATTCCTAATATTTGAGTAATGGTAATAATAGAAATACCTGTTTCATAATGTTGTTGTGGGAATTAAGTGAGTTATTGTAAGTACAGTGCCTTAGAACATAGCTAACTGTAAAACTAACTGTTCACCACCACCACCAATTTGCTGTTGTTACTGTTATATAGATGCATAAAACGAATTTTATATTTATCTATCTTGTTTGCCTCAAAAGGATACTTTATTTGAAAAATTAAAAAATAAAATAATTTGAAGTATAATTGACATACATTTTATTAGTTTTAGGTGTTCAAATAATGATTTGATGTGTGTGTCTATTTATATATCTTGAAATGGTGTAATGTCTTTCCCCCACCCCCACTTTTAGCCATTTGCAAAATCTGTGAATTATCATTTGAAACAGAGCATATTCTTTTACAACATATGAAGGACAATCATAAACCCGGTGAAATGCCATATATTTGCCAGGTATACACATATTTTATTGTGTACTTAGTGTTTGTTTGTTTTGTTTGTTTTCTGTTATTTTGGTTAAACCTGTTAGGCCAGGAATCAGCAAGTCTTTTACTGTAAGGGACAAATAGTAAATGTTTAGGCTTTGAAGGTCGTACAGTCTCTGTTGCAACTAATCAACTCTGCCACTGTAGCACAAAGACAGCCAAGAAAATAAGTGAATGAATGTGCACACATATTTGAATTTCATATTATTTTCTTGTGAAATACATTTTTTTATTTTCTAACCATTTAGATAAAATTTGCTGTTAAAATTTCTCTTGTAAATGATTTATTAGTACAATAGAAAGTCCTGTGACATAATTCATGTATTGTGTACAGGGTCAGTAGAGATTAGGAATTGGCCCACAAGCCATTGTTTACTCATTCCTATACTGGACAAAGAAAAGCTCTGAGGGGAAAAGACAAACTATGAACTTAATCTTACCATATAGGGAAGAATATAGTTATACAAGGGAAATATGAAATTATTTTAGATATAGAGCATACTACAAAATTCTCTGGGCCTAGTATTTTTCCAGAATTTGAAGGAATAGGAAAGCATGATAAAAATAAATTGCCATTGCCATAGCCTGGAGGTAATTTATAATCTCAAGGAAGATGTTGTTTTACATAGAAGAAAAAACTTTATAGGACAAGAAGTATCAGCTTGCAAAAAGTCAGAATAGGGGGTGATTCTGACTTTTTGCATCTAATGAAAAGAAGGAACTCTAATTATATTTTGGGAAATATTCCTAAACTTGGAAAGATAACTTTTCTGTCTCAAAGATCATCTTCTAGTGCTTGCATTAATGGGATTCTTGGTTGTGTAGATATCAGAGCTAAATTAGTTGTACATAATGTTCTTCCAAATAAATGACTTACTGCTATAATTGCATATCAAGTACATTTTCAAGTTAAGTTTAACATTCTTTTTCTTTGTAGGTTTGCAATTATAGATCGTCATCATTTTCTGATGTAGAAACTCATTTTAGATCATCCCATGAAAACACTAAGAACTTGCTATGCCCATTTTGCCTCAAAGTTATTAAAATTGCCACACCCTATATGCATCATTATATGAAGCATCAGGTGAGATGACCAGTTCTTATTTGTTCATGTTGTTTTAGCTAAAAGATAGATTATGACTTAGAACCATAAGATTTGTTCTACAAGGGAAGTAAAATTGTTCCAAATGACACTGTTAATTTGCATTTTATGCTAAATTACTTGTGAAACTTCCACTTTACCTTGCTTCCTTTCTGGTGATGTGGCTCATAAATGAAAATTCTGAAAGACAGCTAGAAATAGAAAACCTAAGGATTGAAGGAAAAAAGAAGATGAGTGGAATATCCAAAAGATCAAATATCTCAGGATCTGAGAGTGTTTATGGGATTTTGAAGGTAGATAACAGGAACATGGGAAAAGATGAAGTTGAACTGAGAAAGAAAAGATTGGGGACTCATAATCTTATTTTCCTCTTTTTCTTACTACTCTATTGCTCCTTTCTTAGCCCCCTTATTCTGAGAAAACATGTTGTTGTCATTGACCAGCAGTGGTCTTTTATAGCTGCCGGTGACAAAGGAAATAGTAATGACACTTTTTGCTGGATATATGAGCACTGCCAAAGAACTGCATTTAGGTCATCATTTGTTTTGTGGGTGACTTCTGCCAATTCTGCTATGTAATTTTTGAGACCCAGGATTAGTGCTTATACCACTATCTTGAATTCTGATTTTTTGCTTACTGGTTCTTCTCCATGAAGCAATTAAACCATCCTTTGAGCCGAAAACTTTGATGCAACACAATCTGTTTTTTAGGTATCTGATCATGTAACCTTGACACCTCACTATTCATGGTGCTCATCATATTTTTAAAAAATATATTTTGATTTTTTTACAGAGAGAAAGGGAGAGGGATAGAGAGCTAGAAACATCGATGAGAGAGAAACATTGATCAGCTGCCTCCTGCACACCTCCTAGTGGAGATGTGCTGCAATCAAGGTACATGCCCTTGACCAGAATTGAACCCGGGACCTTTCAGATCAAAGGCTGACACTCTATCCTCTGAGCCAAGTTGGTTAGGGCCATATTTTTTATTATTGATTAAATTGACATGGCAGTTTATTTATCATTGCTTGCTCACTTTGCTTTCCATTTCTATCTTTAGATAATCATAAAGTTGACTTATGGTTTTTAATTGGGACAAATTATAAAATAATTTCCAAATGAATTTGGAATTACCTATGTTGTGACTGGGATGCTACCCATCCTTGAGAAGTTCTGTCAAGATTTTTTGTTCTAGGTTTTCTTAACAGTGTTCCATTATGTGTTAGTAGATGTTTCCCCTCAAATTGTTACTGGTAAATAAATTTGGTAAATGCCTGGATTTATAAAATTAAACAGTTTTGTCTGTTTCTTAAAATAGGACTTCTCAGGTTTTAATATGTTAAAACATAATATCTAAGTAAGGGATATAAGTATATATTATCACCTCTCCTTCCTCTTCCCCACCAACTTATTTGACCACAATCTTTTCAGAATGTCTGTTAACTTTTATTGAGGACAGAGTTTGGGAAACACTACTTCTGGTACTCTTTCTAATGTTTGGCCTTTAATTTTGAAAGAGAAAGTGAGATATGAGATAGTAGTTCTATTTTATTATGGGGCTTTTTATGTAATTTTTCCTATATGTTTTACTAAGCTCCAGAGTAAAATTTTGATGTGGAAGAATGATAATTATGAAATAAATGAGTGGGCCTACTTTGTGGTCTCTTGTGATTTATAATCAGTTTTTGTACCCTAAGTTTTATGTCTTAATTTGCTTTGGGTACCCAAGGTTTGTTTTGTTTGTTTTGTTTGTTTATATCTTAGGAGGTAGATAGCTAGCAGTAGAGAGGGAGAAATTTATTAAGAAGGATAATCAGGCATTCTTCAAGGTATTTACAAATTATATAATTATTTACTAAAGATTGGAAAACCTTAGCTGAGCAGGATTATAAATTTATAATTGATGACACATTATTAGTGTGATATTAAACAACGAGAATTGTTGACACCGTGGTTCATTTTATTGTCTTTAAAGATTTTGTTTGTAACTTTTCTTTAAGAGGTTCTATTATTAAGTTCTGGGTGATTTTAGAGCTGACAATCCAGTTTGTATGACTTAAAATAGTGAAAGTGATTTTGGATGTGTTAAATATACTCATTAGATCTTTAATAAAAATAATAAGCAGTTAAAACAATAGGCAATCATTTATGGCAGCAGCGGGTGTTTTATATGCATTATCTTACTTAATCCTTACACTTACTCTGTGTATATTAATATTTCTTATAGATAAGTTTTAGAGAAAATAACTTGTCCTATGTCACACTACCTAATAAAAAGTAGAGTTAAAATTTGACTTCAGAGCCCAACCTTTTGTTGCTTTCACACAGAGTCAGATTTTACATTGGTATTAATATATAAGGGCAAAAAATACTTATAGTCAGAATTAACCTCAAATCCCTCAAGTTTCTCAAATAATATAGTATGTGTCTAAATACTTTAAAATTACAATAATGAAACATTAATACCATTATTTAGATACCTTTCATTAGAACTATTGATACAACTCTTATGTTCAACTTTTGTACAATAACAGACATTTTTGAAACCTAAATACTAATGTAAAGAGTATTTTAAAAATTGAAATAATACTTCACTAATATTTATGAGAGATACAAGATACTATTTTAAAAATTATTTAGGTATCATTAATGTTAAATAAGAACAGTTTCAGGACCCAGGATTTGTGATTGCTGTAATTATTTTTCCTGTTTTCTAAACAGAAAAAAGGAATACATCGTTGTACAAAATGCAGACTGCAATTTTTGACCTGCAAAGAGAAAATGGATCACAAGACTCAGCATCACCGAACATTTATAAAACCTAAAGAGCTAGAAGGGCTACCTCCTGGAACAAAAGTGAGTGTAACTATGTTGTATATTAACATATGTTATGATAATAAAATTAATTCCTGTCTGGTTTTAACTACTAAATATTATACTTTGAAAAATGATTTCTGATTTTTATGAAGACTCCAATGTCAAATTTTAGCATTTTTTTTTTTTTAATTTTAGCATTCTTATGTTTAGGAAAAAAAACCTAACCATTGTTTTTTTCAGTAGTTGGTGTGTGCTATGCTAGAATGGTATTCCTTTGTAAAACGTGCAATTAGATATTATGTTTCCTGGGTCAGTGGTTTGTGTCAATAGCCTATTTTTGAGCTATTCTTGTGGGTTTTACTTGCTAAACTATTTGAGATCAGGAATCATGATTTATTTATCTTTGTGTCCTCAGCATCTAGTATGGTGCTTTGAATACCATACGGTCTTAGATGTTTATTGAAGTTGTTATTACTGAGTCCACTCTCAGAGAAACAAGTTCTGCTGCTGGATAGCATTGTGTTTTTAGTGAGCAAACACATGTCTAACTACATACTGATGATTGTATTTTACCTTTCCCTTTTTGCCTTATATTCCTGTTTTTTTCTGACTTCTTTATATACAGTCAGCTCTTGAATATTTGCTCCAGTGGAGGGAAACAGAGGCATGGATAATCCAAAGTGAAATAATCCCCAAAACATTTATATTTGGCTTTGGGTACTTACCTTTGAATGTGGGTATGTCTGTTATTTGAATTAACTAAACAATATAAAGCCATGCTCTGAAGACCTAGAGCAAGAGAAGCTATCCAGCATCCTTCCCTGCAATCCATTCATTCCATGCTGGGACTAGACATGCATAATATGAATGTAAGCGGTGCAGTCCTCTCTCATATTTTCCCTTATTAATGATAATAGCAATAATATTATTAATAACCATACTAAATGTTTTTCTCGCACCTTAGAATTATGCTTTCAGTATGCTTTTTCATAGATTCTTTTATTTAATCTATACAGCAATCTGGTGTGATAAACAAGGCAGGTATTGTTCCATAGTATATAGGTAAAGAAGCTTAGAGACAATAATTTACTTATTCTAGGCCACATGGCTACAAAGGAAGTTGTATGAGATTTAACTTCAAATTTTCTGATTCTTAGTCCATTGCTTTTGTATGCTACCAAACATGTTTTATAGGACTTCCTCAGAAACTACTCAAAATATATACATGAAGGGGAGACTAGTCATATGATTAATGAGAATGTTGGTAGGCATTTGTGTTTTCCATTGTCAACTTAACTAATAAAATTTTTGAGTACTATAAATCATAAGCTTTATATTAGTTCTCTTTAAGGAAATTCTAAATTTTATTACACTCTCCATGAAGTATATATATTGAATTGATATAGGCTCCCCTCTTTCCACCCCTCCCCCCCAACACACACATAACCTTTGTAAACATAAATTCTGCTAAATGAGCCCCTGGAAAGAGATCACATTTACTGTGGGTAATACAGGCCTTTCTAGAGTTATTTTTCAGGTTTTAAGATTTAAATTTTGACCTCTATATTAATTTTTTTAATTATATCAGAGCATAAAAATAGCTATGGAATGTGCTCTTTAATGTCCATATAATTCCCAATTATTCATTAATAACATTTCACTGATCAATATAAAAATATAAGTAAATTAATATCAAATTTTAATTTCATTTAAATATTTAAAATAATTGGAAGACATCCAATTATAGTTTATTCTTAATTTTTTAAAAAATACTTGATATTTAACTTTTTGTTACATGATGATATTTTAATACTTATGCAAGGGTTAATTATCTAAAGTAAATATTATCTCTGTTTTTGTAGGTTACTATTCGAGCTTCAGTTGGACCTCTTCAATCAGGATCTTCAACTGTACCTTCCATTAGTACAAATACTATCCTTCAGGCCTCACCTCCAAGAACAAAATGTGTAACTGCTAAAAATTCCACAAAATCTAACACAAGTAAACTTACTACAACTAAACCTAATGCAAGTAAACCTACTACAAGTAAGCCTAATGGAAGTAAATCTAAATTCAAATCAAAAGTCTCTACTATGCAAAAAAAACAAAGCACTTTGGCTAGTAGCAACAGAAAAAGTAAAGTCAATACAGCATTGAGGAACTTAAGGTAATCTTTTATTCCTAATATAGAATACTAATTTAATCTTAAATAAAAGAATAAAACCTTTATTTAATCTAAATGTACACAACTCTCAACTTTCATAAGCTATTACTTATGGCATAAAGATCAAGCAAGTAATAAAAGTTTGTCTTTTTTAACAACTGTTGTTGAACAGTACTTTCCTATATTTTTCCTGTAATAATCAGGAAATACTGGTGGTATTATATGTTGTACTTCTATCTTATGACATTTGAAGTGGTTAATTTCTTTTATTCCAGGGGTAAGCATTAACTGATGTTATACCTATCCTAGCTGTTGTTCCATAGCAAATGTTCAAGTTATGAGTCTGTGTTTAAATATCTTCATTTAAACAGCGTGGTTTTAATTAACAGAACATTATTAAAGCTCTCCCTTATTATTTTTGTTTTAAAATATATTGTTACCATTTTCTTTATATCTCCATAAGGTATCGTCTAGGAATTCACCGGTGCATTGAGTGTTGTTCCGAAATAAAAGATTTTTCAAATCACTTTCCTACATATGTCCACTGTAGTTTTTGCAGATACAACACTAGCTGTAGCAAAGCCTATGTGAATCATATGATGAGGTAAGATGAGTTAAACATCTGTAATTACCAATTGAATTATAATATAGCAAGTTTGGTTTTTGAAAACAGTTATTCTATTAGAAGCCAATTTTTCCCTTCAAGGAGTTAAAAACTTTTAGCAATAGAGAATTTCTAGGATAATACTTTCTACTGTTTCCAGCATAGTAACTCATAAAATTACTGTAACTAAAATTGTAAGAACATTTAGACTAAAGAAATTATATAGGTCTGTTAGAGAAATAGATTTCCTATGGGAATCTCTTTTTCCTATAGGACTTTCAAAATGGTTATTTTTAAAAATAAAAATGTAAATGTTTCAAATATATTTACCAAACAAATGCATGTAATCTCATGAGTGCTATTCTCTTCAGAGCAGTCACTTTGAGAGACTCCAGGATTTTCACTGGTGCTAAGAACTTGATTGAATCTGTTTCTCTCTCATCCCTCTGTCCACCTATCTGTCAAGCTATCTATCCTTGCATTCAGTCAGTAAAATGAGAGACTATTCTAGTTATAATGCCATTGTTGGAATTTTTTCATTAATTCACTCAACTTACTAGATTATTTGAGTACCTAATACATATGTACACTATACAGAGAAAACCTCACAGATCATATTCATTTGTATTTTATTAGTAGAATCATCTTTTAGGATGGATTTTATTTGTTAAAAATAGTAAAAAAATTGTTCAGATATAAACTAGTTTGGTTGTTTCTTTTTTTAAAAAGCCAGAATTAAAATATAATGAAAGTGATTTTCTCATAGATCATAACATGACCATTATGTTACTTTCTGGTAATTATCAGCTGTTCCTCTAAATTCTCTCACCTTTCTTGATTGCTTCTACACGTTTCTCAAAGTCTCCTTCCTCCCAACCCCCCTTGATTAGCCTAACCTTATGATGCCTTATTTTTTTGTGCCATCACTTTACATCAACTTTTAAGTTATTATATATCCTTTTTACCTTGTGTCATTATAATCTCATCATGTATATGTTTATTTCTTTTTAATTCCTATTTCCCTTTCACTTTCAGGGCTTTATCTCCTCTTTCCAAAGTCCAGCAGCATCCTCTTAACTTTACATAATAGTCAACCTCACCCTCAGGGTGATCTGTTTTGATTGTTGCTTTGTTTTTGTTCTAGAATTCTTTTTGAAAAATGTTTTTATTGATTTTAGAAAGAGACGAAGGGAGAGGGAGAGGAAAACATCAAATGACTGCCTCCTGCATACCCTTTACTGGGAGTCGAGCCTGAAGCCCAGGCATGTAACCTGACTGGGAATCCAACTGGTGACCTCTTGGGACTACCAGCTGAGCCACTGCAGCTGAGCTGTTCTAGAATTCTTTACCTAACTTGTTTGGGACTACCAACGGGCTCTCGTACAATTCCTTACCTAACTCGTTTATATCTGAACAATTTTTTTTCTGGTTATCTTCATCCAGACATTGATCTTAGAAATAGAGAGGTTTTACTTCTACAAAGGTAACCCTGTCTCTTGTGGTTCTTCCACCACCTTATTCAGTTAACTTGCTACTTTATCTCTTCTTTTAACCAGGTTCCTTCTGTTTACACACATTTTTTTTTTTTTTTAATCTTCACTGGTGGATATTTTTCTTTTGATTTTCAGAAAGAGTGGAAGAGAGAGAGAGGAAAAGACAGAAATATTGAGTGAGAGAAACACATTGATTATTTGACTCATGCATGTGCCCTAAACAGGGGCGGGGAGTAGCTTGAAACCACGGTACATGCCCTTGACCAGAGTCGAACTCAGAACCAAGGACCCTTAGGTTTGCAGACTGACCCTCTGTCCCTAAACCAAACTGGCTAGGGCCAGTTTTGAGGTATTTTTTTATTTGTTTGTTTTTTAAGATGAGGGAGATTTGTCTCTATTGCTTGCTTTCCTTATTTCTTGTCCTTCTCTCACTGTTTTACATTTGTACAAAGTGTTTGCTATTAGCTTATTATTTCTTTACCCTTAAATTTGAGTATCATCCCCACCTGCTAACTAACCATGCCCTTTAAAGATTATGTCATTTACTTATGCACCACATTTATTCACTTTTTAAAATTCTTACTACTCCATGACTTCAGAGTTTTTGACATTGTTGTCATTCACTTTTGAAACTATCCTCCTCAGCTTCTGTTAAACTGTTACCACTCTTTTTCTTCTTCCTTTTTGGCTGTTCCTTTATTTCATTGCCTTTTCTTCCTTCAACGTTTCTTGCCTCTTTACATTTCCTTTGTTGATAACCACTGTCGCTTTTACCTTTCGACTTTAAATTTTTCCCCCTTTAATGCTTAGTTTTCCAGAGATCAACTGTATATTTTAAATTATTTTTATAGATATTTTTCCTTTGAAAATATCACTGGCATCTAAAAAGAACAAAATTAAGCCAAACATTATATAATCTGCAGAAATCATACAACTACCATCCAGATCACTCTTTCAGGGCATCATCTGTATGACTGGAAGACCAGCTGTAAATAACTCACTGTCCCAAGTTTCTTAAGCTCATGAATTCTCTTGATTTACCACTTTGCATGGCTTTCTGAACACCCACCTCCTGCATTTTGCCACTCTGCCTCCCAACTATTGCAGTGGTCTGCACCTGTATTACATTTCCTCTAAACCAGGCCCCAGACATTCTCTCTCTCAGTATACTTCCGAGTGAAGCCTCTTATTCTGTGACAAATATGCTGCTGCCCAAAATGGGGCTTTAAATCTGCCCTTAATTTACAGGGGGTCAAATTGGAAAATCTTGTGTAATTCACCCTTCAACTCTCATTTATCATAGCTTCCCACTTGTCCTATACAACCTCCAAATCCATTCTGTTCCAAAACATTTTTAATGAGCCCGACTCCCATACCCTTTTCCCAATTCCTCAGTGAACCTCAACCCTGCATTTCATTGTCATCACACATGCTAAGCTCTTATTCATTGTTAGCTTCATATGAACTGAAAGCTTCCATTGCCACTCTTAGGGTATGGTAGATCCCTTTTCCTTTTTCTTTACTTCACTAGTGCTCTTGCCTCAATGCCTTGAGTATTTCCCATTGAATGGCTCATCGGTACCATTGCAAATTTTGGATTATTGTTATAACCTGAGTTCTGTAGGTACAGAGTTACATTTTCTCCAGAGGATGAGTACATTTAATTCATATTCATACCACCTCTGTACTCTCAATTGGTCTTTTTCCCACTGGTCTTAAATCTGTCCCAGTCATTCTTTCTATATAGACTCCCATCCCCCTAAGTTGACTACTCGTTTCCATAGTAAAGTCTCTTTACTCATTTTTGATAGTGGCTTTTCTCATTTTTGTTAGTTTCTGGAACGTCTCTGTCCTTCTTTTCAGTTAACCTTTGAGGTATTTGGTCACCATAACCACTCACAGGGATCATTCCTACCTTTGAATTGTGGACCATTCATTGATTCTGCCTTTTATTACATTTGTTGGTCTCTATATATCTCCTTGAAAGACAGGGCTGTTTGTGTTTACCATGTCATCTACAACATTACAAATAGCAATTGATAGTTATTATTTGTTATAATTATAAAAGGCTCTGAAGAGGATATTCAAAAATAGTGATGCAATTGGAGCATTTTTGGAATAAGACTCTTTCAAGGTAGATCATCATTAAACATGTAATTTTTAAGTAATTTTTTTTTAAGTGGAGCATTGAGTGTGGTGGTTTTATTGCACCTTACTTACTTATAGCTTTTAGATAGCAATAGGAGTTTCCTAGAATAATCCAAACAAATTGCTGTATGTTGGAATTTACCTCAACGTGATGCATAAGAAGGCTTTTTCTCTACATATAATAAAGTTAACAGACATAAGTACTGTATTTTAATATATCTTTTTCTAGTAGAGTTTACTGTTTGCTAAGAAGTATGACAGGCTTGTGGAGAAGAATCAGACAAATCTGTATTTTAATCTAAGCTTCACAATTTATTAATTTTCGTTGTGACTTTGGGCAAGTTAATTAACCTGACTCCCAGTTTTATTTTTTTCAAACGAAAGTTACTTTGATTATTTAAGGATATGTAAAATTAAAGTGCTTAATGATATGATTTGCTCTTACGCAGCTTTCAAGTAATTTTAGCTATTGTTCTTTTCTAAGTTGTCAATATTAAGCTATTGTAGATAAAGTCCTTGTCATTGATTTTCATAATTTATTAGGAGAGATACACTATTTACTTAGCTTAATATGATAAACAAATTACCATGAGAGCACAGAGGAGGTAAGAACAAATTCTTTATGGAAGAAATAAGAGAAGATGTCCTATAGTTGATATTTCACTTAGGCTTTGACGAGTGATTTAAATTACCAAAGAAAAGGGATGTTGGTAAAATCATATTATTCCTGCCGAAACCAGTTTGGCTCAATGGTAGAGCATCGGTCTGCGGACTGAAAGGTCCCAGGTTTGATTCTAGTCAAGGGCATGTACCTTGGTTGTGGGCACATCGCCAGTAGGGGGTGTACAAGAGGCAGCTAGCTGATCGATGATTCTCTTTCATCGATGTTTCTAACTCTCTATTCCTCTCTCTTCCTCTCTGTAAAAAATCAATAAAAAATATATTTTTTAAAAATCATATTATTCCTATACAATAAACAAGACAATACTGAAATTTTATAGGATACGCTTGAGTTTAATGTATATTTTGTATAGATTTATTGGTTCTAAATAATTGTCATTAGAAGGACAGTTAAGTAATTGTTATAGCTGGTTGCCTGTGTACAATTCCCAGGTAATGCTGATTTAAATCCACTTTTAGTTATGTTAAACGAATCCTGTCTTTTCTAGTACAGGGAAGCTTTCCTTACCATCTTTAAAAGGGTATATAGTGTGGCTCAGTGGTCATATGTCAACCTATGAACCAGGAGGTCACAGTTGGATTCCCGGTCAGGGCACATGCCTAGATTTTGGCTTAAGCCCCAAAAGTGGGCATGCAGGTGGCAGCTGTTCAGTGATTCTTCCTACCTCACTCTGAAATGAATAAAAACATATAAAAGGGTACATAAAAGCAATATTTGATTACAAAGGTTGTTTAGTGGTTTTCTTTTCTATGCTTAGTGAAAGCATTATTTTAATAGTTTTGCTTAAAATTTTTTTTAAACCCCTTCTTGTAACTGCAAAGAACTCTATAAATGTTTGATTTTATAAATGGTCAACAGTGGCATTTAGCTTGAGTATTGTTTACTTGCAAGAAGATCATTTAGAGCACATGTGTCAAACACAAGGCCCGCGGGCCAAATCCGTCCTGCCAGGCCTTGCAATGTGACCCGCACCGCGCTGTCATCACTGCACTCCGCTGCGTTTCCATCACAATGACAGTTTATGACTGTTCAGTAAACCATTCAGCCCGCGATTTAGGCTGGATTTTAGATTTTGGCCCCTTCTCTGATTGAGTTCGACACCCCTAATTTAGAGTCTACCCCCTTTTTCAACATAAGTATGTTAAGATTGGAAAACAATTTAAAAATAATGATTATTCTTGAGAACTGTTCATATTAGAGTAAAAACATTAGCAAAAAATTAAAATTGCTTTCAACTCTTTAACAGATAAAAAATTAATTTGTGCTTTACTTTTTTAAAAACAAATATTTACTTTTGTGTATGATGAGGGGTACTGATCATATGAGCAAATACATAGAGAAATTTGTGTCATTAGAAAATAAATAGGTAAAATGGAATGTAAGATAAAGTGTGAAATTACATAGGGATGACAAACATTATTTTATTTATACCATGATCTTTTACTCAAAACTAGGAATTTAAATATAGACTTGAAATACAGATATAAATTAATGTGACTATTATAGAATAAAATAAATAAAATCTTTTTGTCTTTCCAGCTTTCACAGTAACCGCCCAAGTAAAAGATTTTGTATTTTTAAGAAGCTTTCAGGAAATCTCAGGTAACTAGTTGATTTTTAAAAATTCTTTCTATTGAAAAATTTTATGACTTAAATTTTTAATATAATATCTTCAGTGAGATATAATCCACATATCACGCAATTCACACACTTAAATTGTACAATTAATAGTTTTTTAATATATTCACTGAGTTGTGCAGCCATTGCCACAGTTAATATTAGTACATTTTTATCACTCCAAACAACAACTCTATACTCATTAAGGTTATCCCCATTTCCTTCCAATTCCACCAATCCCTAAGTAACCTCTAATCTTCTGTCTATTTGTATAGATTTGCCTCTTCTGGACTTCAGATAAATGGAATGGTACATTATGTGATATTTTGTGATTGGCTTCCATTTAGTGTATTTTACATGTTCATCTGTATATATCAGTACTTCATTTATTATTGGTCAGTAGTATTCTATTGTATGATATACCATAGTTTGTTTATCCATCTAGGTTGTTTTAACTTTGAACCCATTATAAATAACTAGAGGCCCGATGCACGAAATTCGTGCAAGGGGCTGGGTCCCTACCTTGCCTCGGCCCCTGCCCGCCATCATGGCTTCGTCCAGAAGGATGTCTGGTCTAATTAGCATATTATGCTTTTATTATTATAGATGCTGCTATGAACATTTGTGTTAAAGTTTTTGTTTGGGCATGTTTTTTTTTCATTTCTCTTTAGTATATATCGGGGATTGGAATTGCTGGGTTATATGGTAACTGTTGAGTCTTTGAGAATCTGCCAGATTGTTTTACAAAGTACCTCAACTATTTTATATTCCCACTAGCAGCATATGAAGGTTCCAGTTTATCCACATCTTTGTCTACATTTGTTATTATCTCTTTTTTACTATAGCTATCTAGTGGGTGTAAGGTAGTAACTTGTTCTGGTTAATTATCTTTTTTTTTTTACTTGATGTTGGTATGTTCTATTTGGAAATCTAAATGACTGCTACTGTCCTTAGACTAGAGGTATGACTAGCCTATATTCTTTTGCTAAATTTGTTTCAGTGATAACAAATGGTGCAAAGATGAAGTTAAATAGAGAACAAAATTTTAAAATTTATTATTAATTGTATTATTTTCCCTGTGCTTCACTCCATCTCTCCCTACCTCCCTTTTTGCTTAATTTTTCTTTAAATCATCTTTCATCATCTGATATACTTTGTGCTTTACCTTTTTAATTTTCTGTGTCTTATTACTCAAATCCTGTGGTTTAGATTTTTAAATTAGTATACTAATTTAAACCATATGTTGATTAGTGTACTCAGCACATATTTGTTGAATAAATTAAAGTATAGGTTGAAAATGATTTATATGTATAATAGCTCCCATCTACGATGTTGGACCAGTAGTTTACAGGGAAATGAAATTTGATTCAGTTTAAAAAGTATTTTAGGCCAAAGCCGGTTTGGCTCAGTGGATAGAGTGTCGGCCTGCGGACTGAGGGGTCCCGGGTTCGGTTCCGGTCAAGGGCATGTACCTTGGTTGTGGGCACGTCCCCAGTGGGGGGTGTGCAAGAGGCAGCTGATCAAAGATTCTCTCTCATCAATGTTTCTAACTCTCTATCCCTCTCTCTTCCTCTCTGTAAAATATCAATAAAATATATATTTTTTAAAGTATTTTAGAGCTAATTTTAAAACATTAATTGAGTTCAATGAAATAGATTAAGCTATATTAGATGTTGCCTTTACTAAAAATTTTTATAAGAATTAAAAGAGTTTTGCATTTAAAAGATGAGATTTTAGTTTTATTCTTTTCTCACTATTGTCAAGCTTAATTGTGTGTTGTTTTTAAGTGAACTATATTATTTTAAAAATCTGATTTTTTTTCCTCGCCTACTTAAATAGGAATCAAATTGAAAATAAATCAATTCCAATAAATAGAATATAGTATACTTATAATTACATAGAACAATGTTTTTTATAATTATTCCTTTATTAGAATGTAATATTTGTTCTTTATCTCTATGTATTTATCATGTACATAATATACAGTTCCTTTAAAGATGAAAGTAATGAAGCCTTAGAACTAGTCTGCAGGAGATATACAGTTTATCAGATAGGAGATATAGGTGAATATAAATAACTAATAATGCAAGGAAGATTTTAATAAGTGCAATAAAAGCTATGTTTTTCGAAGGGGGGAGAGATTATATGAAATTATCTAGATAGGTGTTAATTATACTTTGCTTTAAAAGATGAATATTATTTATACTGGTAGAAGAGATACAGTGGCATTGAAATTGGAAGAAATAGCATGAATAAAAGTGCAAAAATGAAAAAGTAGAAGACTTGTAGATGGAATACCTAGTAGCAAATGAATGGTTCTAGTAGCAAAGTGTGTGTTCTGTTTTTAAGTGAACTATATTATTTAAAAATCTGAATTTTTCCTCCCCTCTACTTAAATAGGAATCAAATTGAAAATAAGTCAATTCCTATGAATGGGGAATATAGCATACTTATACATTTTAACTTCCCTTAAGCTTTTAAGTTTAGCTTAAAAACATTGCATTTAGAAGTCAAGTACATTTTAATAATAACTTTTTAGAGGGCCTTTAATGTTTGGTAAGATTCATTTAAGTAGAACAGACTAAGATTTTTATTTTTATATATATATATATATATATATATATATATATATATATATATATATATATTATTGATTTTTTACAGAGAGGAAGGGAGAGGGATAGAGAGCTAGAAACATTGACGAGAGAGAAACATCAATCAGCTGCCTCCTGCACATGTCCCACTGGGGATGTGCTCGCAACCAATGTATGTGCCTGCAACCAGCGTACATGCGCTTGACTGGAATCGAACCTGGGACCCTTGAGTCTTACAGGCCTACGCTCTATCCACGAGCCAAACCGGTTAGGGCCAAACTAAGTTTTTTAAACAGTCCCATTTGCAACTCCAGTTCCTTTAAACAATTTAACATCATTTATACATTTAATATATTTTCTTCTCTTTTAAACAGCACTTCACATGCTTGACTCAACAGGCTCCCAAGTTCTTAACTCTTAAAATATAATAAATTAAACATATTGTGAATTTTTAAGTTTTCGGAAACATTTACATACTTTTGCAGGCTTAATAATATTTAAAAATACCTTTCAACTAAAAATCAAAAGTTTAAACACATTTTTAGTGAGAATCTTAAGGGCACTGTCACATATTGTAATATACCAATTATGTTTAAATATTTCAAATAGCAAATACTACATAGTTTATTCTAATGAGTCTAAAAACTGTTCCTGAATACAACAGAAAGTATTGAAGACTGTGGAAATTGTTTCTTAGGCTTTTTGAAAATTCATAATCATTACATATTTCATTTAAGAACTAGGGCACTCGGTGTTTGGTAAGGAAACAAGTAGTTCAGGCCCCAGCAAGTGGTCCAGTTCACAGTGCAAGGATCATTGGGAACTCAAGCTTTGGACTTCAGTAGTCAAATAACTAATTCACTTTAATTAATGAATTGAGTGTTAAGTGAGAATAATATAATATGTATTGTGATAAGAATAAAAATAATACATGGAAAAACCTTTAACACATAGTATGCAACCGATACAGCTATAACATGATGTATATGTTTAAAACCTTAAATTTCTCTTCTAATTTTTTTCTCACCTAAATAAAACACTAGATTATAGCTTTGTTAGGGCACAGACTGTATTTTTTTCACTTATATTCACAATACAGTACAGTATGTGTACAGACGGCCTTAATAAATATACTGTATTGAATGAACAATTACTATACCCTTGCATTGCAGATGGTGGAGGACAGGTGGATTGTGACTTGTTGCAGTGACACAAGTTGTTAGTGGAACTAACACTGGGTTTTAGATTTCTTAACTTCTACCTTTTAGCAACTGGTCTGTAAATAAATAATAGCATAATTTGGATATGGCTAAGCCATTTTCTAGAAAATTATTTTTGTTATACCAAGTTTATATAACATAAAATCAACAGTTTGACACAAAAAGCCAATTATGAAAAAATAATCATTGAACTTATTTATGGATTTTTATAAAATATTTTAAAGACTTTTTCTTTTATACTATTTGCTTTTTTTTATTTTAGGAACATTACTGTGGTGTGCCTTGATTGTGATTTCCTAGCTGATTTTTCTGGATTAGATAATATGGCTGTACACTTGAGTAAGCAGGAAACTCATACTTGCCAAGTTGTAGGGAAAGGTATGTATATAGACAATTGTGTTGCTTAGGATTTTCGATATTTTTTTCACTATTTTTGGTCAGCCACAATATAGTAGGTTCTTTCTCATCATATTTCATCAGTATTAAATAGAAAATTTTTTTTTCTAATTTCAGTTTCTGCTCGTATCCCAACTTCTGAACATATTTCTAAGTAAGTTTAATTTTTATTTAGTGCCTTTTACTTTGATAGATTTTAGCATTATTGCATTTTTAAATGTATGATTAATAGAAATGAAAAATATTAAAGTATTTTGTGTTGTTGTTTTTTTGTTCTTTTTAAAGCTGCTTGTTGAAATAGGTTCCTGCTCTATGGAGCTCGTGACCTGGTGCGAGACAAGTTGGAATTTCCTAAGTTCAAAGTTCTGAGATGTTTTCTTACACAAAGGCAGTTAAGCAGCCAAGTTCATGACACTAGCTCTCATTATTCAGCTTTTTTCAGCTTCAAATGAGACTAGGTTCTTTATTCCACCTTATCTTTGTGTCAGGTTGACATATCTTAACATATGTTGTTTTCTCCAGTTGGCTCTTTCCAAAATAACTTTTGTTGCTACAGTCATTTCTTACTTTGCTTAAAATAATTTATGTTTTTCTCTGTTGTACTTGCCTTCAGAATAATACATTTCAAATGATATGGCTGTTTGTCTTTTTGTCTATTTTGTCTGCTTTCTTAATTTCTTATAGGCCTTAAGTGTTTAGGCCCAATGATTGTCTTTTTCCTCTTTCGTTGTCTGTCATTGTGCTATTTTTCTTATTTTTCAGATGCAGAAGCAGCCCAGAGATTTCAAAAAATGTCCAGGGTACACCTGGACAGTGTCCCCCTTCGATGGACACAACTGGTGCCTATTCTCTCTTTCCAAGGAATGGGAATAATTTTACAGTGGGACCTGCTCTAGGTTGTGGTCTCAAGAAATCAGGTCTTGAGGAGACTTCCTTACTTCAAGACTGGCCTCCCATAAGGTTGATGCTAATTTACCCAGAGATGGCCTCAAAGCCCACCAAATTGAGCACAAATTTCCTCTGGGTTCTTTGGCTCTTGATGTTAAGCTGGTGGGTTACTTTAGGCCAAGAATAGCCCATCAAATCAATACTTAAGTCCAAGTTGAAGCTTAGTCATTTTGGCTACTGCCCTTTAATCTTCCTCTTGCATGAATGCAGTCCAAGGAGTATAAAAGCTTTGGTTGTTAGGAAGCCATAGTTATTTTCATGTCCTTGGAGCAACAGGTTCTACAATTATGTTTCAGAATTGCAGTTACATTTATTGTTATTTAAAATATATTACCCAGTTCTAGCTCTATAGTTTTCAACAATACTCAGCTTTTTTATTTTGAATAAGTTAATTTTAATTGTTTGTTTTTTCTCCAAATTTACTGATATTACAATGTTTATTTTTATACTTTTTACTATTCTTTAAATCTGTTTAGTGTTTGCTCTGTTTTGTCAGGACTTGCAAGAGATTCCCTATAATTCTCTACAGATTCTCTATGGCTGCCTTACTTAGAGATTTTTAATTTGAATGTTATTTATACTATTAGATATTACTGTATTTTCTCTTATTTTGGGATTATTATTAACATTTTCTTAATGATTATGGGTTCTCAGCTGTAAAGAATTGCCAAAACCTCTTATATCGATAGATATTAAAACAAGTTTTAAAGTTACATATTTGTCTAGCTTGTACATAGTATATAATTTACCATTAAGGAACTTCTTTTGGGTAAAAAGTATCATTAAAAAATATGGGGGTTCCCCAGCCGGTTAGCTAAGTAGTTGGAGTGTCTTCCTCTCCAAAACCAGTTTGACTCAGTGGTTTCGGCCTGCGGACTGAAAGGTTCCGGGTTCGATTCCGGTCAGGGGCATGTACCTTGGTTGTGGGCACATTCCCAGTAGGGGGTGTGCAGGAGGCAGCTAATCGATGTTTCTCTCTCATCGATGTTTCTAACTATCTCTCTCCCTTCCTCTCTGTAAAAAATTACTAATAAAATATATGTATGTGCAGCCCGGTAAATGTTTAACTCAGTTACCCTTTCCATATATCTGTTAACACCTCTCAGAACAAATTATCAGAAATGGTGCACTAGATTTTTACTATTATTTATTAGTATGTTGATTAGTATCTTAAATTTAATCCTGAATGTTACAGTAAGTGTAGGGTATTAAGAATTGGTTGTCTTTACTACTGGCTAGTTGTACAACCTCTTTCTATTCAATTTAAGAATAAATTGAAGATTAAATTTTGAAAATCAGCATTGAAATTTTTGGCTTTAAAATATTATTGGAAAGAAAGAGTGTGGCCTGGCTGAAATGAATCAACATTTTCTCCCTTTTAGCTCCTTTCCTCATCCAGTGGTATGTTTATGGTGTGAATGAAATTTCAAAAGAAGATACTAATGTAACTGACCAAAAATATTCATTTTACATCTAACTTTGGGTCATCTGACCTTCAGAATAATGCAAATAGGGACATTTATTTCATTTTCAACTTCAGAGGGAAGAGATTGTTCTTGATAAATAAATCAAAAAGATTTATTTCAGCAGGTTTATATGCAGAAGAAAAATCACGCATTTGCAATTATGTTCTTTAATTATTTATTGTTGAAATTGATCACCAGTCAGTCCTGTTTTCTTTACATTGAAGTCTTAAATAGTGTTTGTTGAAATGCTACCCAACACTTTTCTATAAAAAATTATGACAACATTCACAGGTAAAAAGTGTAATTATGTAATGGTAGATTCTTAGCTCAGAACTTTGAGCTTAGCAAATTTCACTGTCTTCTACCAAGCAATTGAATATCTCAAATGATGACTATTTCAGCAGGTATCTTTAATGAATAAAAATTATAGGTAAAAACTTTTTTTCTTCTAAAAATATGTTAACAATGTATTCATAGTGCATTATAATTTGTTAAGTATGCTTTCATATTACAATAATGTATACATTTTAGTGATGCAGGTGATAATTCAATGAAATTTTAGATAGTGTACATTTAAATATTTTTAGATCTTTTTTTTTTTAATGTTTTTACTGGTTATTATAATTCTATTCATTAAACAGAATACTAACATGGTTAAAACCCAAACAGAATTGACATCTCAATTTTGATAAACGTCTTAAGGCTAGTTATTTTAATAATTTATTTTGTTCTCATTTATCAGTTTCTTAGCCAGTAAAATGGAGAGTAACAAAAAAACTCTGTTACCAACCTCCATTGCAGAGATGATAAGTACTCAATATCACCAGTTGAAATGCAGTAATATTAACACATGCTTAATAAGTGGCTTTCATTTTAATTGCTGTATAACATCAATTTATTAGGATTGCCATATGTGTAAATGGTTATCATGATAATGTTTAAGAATGTAAGTTCTTTGATAATATTTTCAATAGGCTGAAAAGAAAAAGGCTTTTATAAAATACTCTTAAATTGCTTTGTGACCAATTTGTTTCAGTTTTTCAAACTAAGTTTAAGATTATTAAATGCTTAGAAACAAAAAATCAATTGTAATTTACAAGTTTATTTCAAAACTTCATTAACCCAGTACCTACTTGTTTCATCAGACTAATTTTTATGTTTTCTTACTGTTTTATACATGTTAATCTTAAAACTTATTTGTCCATATATAAAATCATTAAAGCAGTGAAATTTTACTGTATATTTGATGTTATTTTTTAATAAATATTATATTGTTCACAATTAAATACTTGAGAGAATTACAAATCTTTAACCCAAAAATGATTGACATTTGTGCATTTTTCTCACTTTTTGTGCAAATTTTATTTATTTACATTTGTTTAATAACTTAGTTCTAGTTATTTTAATAGACTACCAATATAGTTCTCATTCACAAAAGGACATGCTCTATTTTAAATTATTTGCAATTTTATGTAATAACTAAAACATAGGTAAGTGATTGTGCACAGTTAAATTATCAAAATATAGCATTATATAGACCTAATTTTTAAAATTTACCCTAAGAGAATGGATAAAGAAAAAGGGTTTTTACCAATTCAATATTTCAATTACTAATTATGAGAGTAGCTTTTAGCATGGTTGACACAGATGTCTTCATTTGTGTTCATAAAATTTAGGTTAGTATAGCTATTGCTAATGTTAAATATATTAATATTTAAGTGTAACTATTAAACCTTCATAAAGTTATAAAATACCCTGTTAATGGCATTCAGATCAGGTATGTTTCCTAATTGTGCAGATTTTATTATATATAATATCAGCAAGTGATACAGTCATCAACAGTTTCTGAAATAAAAATATTTTGGAAAAGTTAGTTTTTATATTGAATTAATTATTTTAAAAGTTTCATAGGTGGCATATGCCTTTGTTAATATAAGAAGTTACAGTTACTATAGTTTTAGAAATCAAGAAGTTTAAAAAAAAAGTTATAGTTAATATTTGGACTATGCTTATAAAGGTTTTTAAGAGAATATATCCTCCAAAATTCTAATTTTCTGTGATTTTTATCACCTCTAGGTAAGTTAATTGTAACAGATACTGAAATTGCATTATTATTGAATTTCACCATAGATAATATATATTTTCTCACATTTTAAGTCTTATAATAGTCACTATTAATGCATATCACATAACCATATAGCCTACTTTTAGTTTTTAAAGAATAAGTCTTTTTTGAAACTGTTTTACTAATGTATTATGCCATTTATTTTAAATTGTACTGTTTTATCGGTTTCCATTGTAAATATAAAAAAATCAATACTTATTTTGTTTTCAAGATTAAAAAATGAAGCTCCCATTAAGGAACAAAAACCTGTGTCTGAGGTAAATTTTGTCTTATTTTATACTTTAAAGATTTATATATTAGAAAGCATTATTGGTATGGTTTTTCAGAAAAAGGTTTAATTCAACAGGCTTACATTGATAACAATTGTTGGCATGTTATCAGGGGAAAATTGAGATTTAAAAGAAATTTTCATTAGATATAAAAATATCTCATCTTAAGTAAAATTGTAAGATGGTTTTGTTTTGACAAAGACATTATATATTTCACTTGCTTGTTTAATTCAACTAGTGAGTGATGAAAATAAGTTTATGATTTTAAAATTCTGAAATCCATAAAACCTCAAACATTTGGTACATTGGAAAATTAATCTTTCCAGATGATATAACTATTTTTTTTTTAATTTAGACTGTTAAAAATTTAACTTAATTTTTTAAGCGAAAATATTTTGGATATATGGTAACTATGTTTTAGCTATCTTAAACAGGCACTGTGAAAATAATACTCAGGGTTATCATATAAATGTTACTGGGCAGTTTAATAAATGAGAAATTTCTAATTTCTAAAGTTAAAAATAATTTTGCTCAAGTGCTTGCTTTCTTGATGTTAATTTTTTTAAATGTTACTTAATATTATTTGTGATGTTTTTGCTGAGTATAATGAAATGAGGCAGGTTTAGCATTTATCTTTTGATAGCATTATGTCTTATACAGAGTAAGTAAAATCAAGGCAAAAGTAGCAGCCTTCTTCCAAGCAGCTTTTATACCAAACAACTTCTTTTCTTTTGTATGAAAGGTTTTTAACTACAAATAAATCTCTTTAATAAATGTAGGATATTTTGATTATCTGTTTATTCTTGAGTAGTTTCGGTAGTTTGTGGTTTTTAAGGAATTGAACATTTAATCTGAGATGTTGAATTTATGTGTATAGAGTTGTTTGTAGTATTCCCTTATTCTTTTAAATGTCTGCGGGTTCTGCAGTGTTTAATCCTCTCTTTTATTCCTGGTATTGGTAGTTTTTGTGTGTTTTAACCCTACCCTATTATTCTCATGTACTGTATATCACCTAAAGACAGAATACAATGTTACTGTTTTTGCTTTAATCAGTTACTTAGTAATTAAAAACTTTAAAAAATAGTATTGCATTTACCTTCGAGTCTACTATTTCCAGTAGACTTCATACCTTTATGGAGCTCTTTTTTTCAGTTTAGTATCATATTCCTTTGGCCTAAAGAACTTTCTTTGCTATATTTTTCATTACATATTTACTGATAAGTAATTCTATTAAAAAATTTTCCCATTTTTTAAAAGATATTTTTTGTCAGTATAGAGGGTTGACAGTTTTCTTTCAGCAGTTTAAAGAAGGCATTGTATTGTCTCTTGGCTTGCATATGATCTGATGAAATGTCTTACTGTAATTTTTATCTTTTGTTTTTATGTATGTATGTAATATGTCATTTTTCTTTGGTTGCCCTTAATATTTTATCTTTAGTCTTCATTATTTTGAACATGATTTGACAGTTTGGTTTGTTCATTTTTTTATTTATATGTTTATCTTTTTTTTTTTTTTTTTTTTTTTTTTTTGCATTTATATTGACTGGTGTTCTCTAAGTTGTTTTGTATCTTCAATTCTGGGGTTGCAGATTCACATGTGTTGTATCATTTCATGTTAGTCCCTGTTCTTAAATGCCTGTTCTGGTTTCTACATCCCATCCCCAATACACATTGTATTTCAGTTTGGGTAATTTCTATCTATTGACTTACTGGTTTATTTTTAAGTTGTATCAGGTCTAATGATGAGACCATCAAAGGCATTTTTCATCTGTCATTATGGATTGTTGTTTTTTTTTTTTTCCTCTAGCATTTACATTGATTCTTATAGTTTCTGACCCTCTGCTAAAATTCCCATTCTAGACATACATGTTGTCCTTTTTCTACCAAAACATTTAACATAATAATAATAATAGTAATTAAAAATTTCCATCCCATAATTCCAATTTCTGGGTCATATGTCAGTCTGGTTCTGCCAATTGCTTTGTCTCCTGTGAGTGTATCCCCAGCCCCTGCCCCACCTTGCTTTTCTGTGTATTGTATAATGTTTGATTGAAAGCAAGACATTATTTGTAGGACTCAGATAAAAGTATATCTGAAAATGGGCATACCTTTTCTTACGTTGGGTCATTAGTATGGGACTTGGGTCCATGTAAGAGTGATTGGACCTGGATTTTTATCTTCATTAGTTTGAACAGGTATTTCTTTCAAGTATACATGTGATTTGGATAGTCCCTTGAATAGATCTAGGTGGTTAAGTATGCATTTTGGAAAACTTTAATTAATCTTCTAGATTTTTATCACATGCATTGTAGTGGAATCAATGTTGTCCTACCCCAGTAATATTTACTGTCACTACTATGTAATTTGTATAGCTTTCCATTTCCTCTTTAAAAATTAATTCCTTTCATATGCTAGATAGTATTTGGTGATTTTTAGCTCTTTATATATATTAAAGAATGAAACAATAAAAGGTTCATAGAAAACCCTATGGTTTGGGATGGAGGCAGGGCTGTTGTGCATTGCCATACAGGTTGTGCACTCAGAACTCCAGAAGGCACTATCTTAGTACTCTAAAATATTATTGATATTTACTGTGTTAGAAATTATAATTGTGAAGTCTTAAAATGTTGATATTTTACTGCCTATAGGTTCTTCTAAGATTTTTATGGTTTCCCATCTTAGGTTTAAGTCCTTTATCCATTTCAAGTTTGTTTTTGTGTATGGTATAAGTTGGTGAGCTAGTTTCATTTTTTTGCATGTATCTGTTCAATTTTCCCAACACAATTTATTGAAGAGACTGTCTTAATTTCAGCGTATGCTCTTGCTTCCTTTGTCAAATATTAATTGGGCATAATGGCTTGTGTCATTTTCTGGGTTCTCTGTTCTGTTCTATTGGTCCATATGTCTGTCCTTATGCCAGTACCAGGCAGTTTTGAGAACAGTGGTTTTGTAATATAGCTTGATGTCTGGTATTATGATCCCTCCAACTGTGTTCTTTCTCAAGATTGCTGCAGTTATTTGGGGTCTTTTTTATTTCATATGAATTTTTGGAGAGTTTGTTTTAGGTCTGAAATGTGTCATTGGTATTTTAATGGGATTACATTAAATCTATAGATGGCTTTCGGTAGTGTGGATATTTTAATGATGTTGATTCTACCAGTCCATGAACATGGTATGTTCTTCCATTTGTTTATGTCTTCTTCTGTTTCTTTTCTCAACATCCTGTAGTTTTCTGAGTACAGGCCTTTTATCTCTTTAGTTAAGTTTATTCCATTTTTTGGTGCAATGGTGAATGGTGTTTTTTTTTTTTTAATTTTTTATTTCTCTTTCTGTGAGTTAATTATTGCTGTATTAAAAAGTCATAGCTCTGGGTGTTAATTTTGTATCCTGCTACATTGCCAAAGTCTAGTAGTTTTTTGATGGAATCTTTTGGGTTTTCTAAGTGCAATATCATGTCATCTGTGAAGAATGACAGTTTTACTACTTCTTTTCCATTTGGATGCTTTTTATTTCTTCTTGTCTGATCGCTTTGGCTAGCACTTCCAATACTATGTAGAACAGGAGTGGTGGAAGTGAGCATCCATGTCTTGTTCCTGTTCTTAGGGGAAATGGTTTTAGTTTTTGCCCATTGAGTATGATGTTCGCTGTATGTTTGTCATATATGGCTTTTATTATGTTGAGATATGACTCCTCTATTCCCACTTTGCTGAGTATTTTTACCAAGAAAGGATGTTGGATTTTGTCAGATACTTTTTCTGCATCAATTTGTATGAATATGTGATTGTTGTCTCTCAATTTGTTTATGTGATGTATCACATTTATTGATTTGTGAGTATTATACCAGCCTTGCATCCTGGAATAAATGTCACTTGGTCATGGTGTATGATCTTTTTAATGTAATGCTGGATCTAATTTGCTAAAATTTTGTTGAGGATTTTGGCATCTATGTTCATCAAGGATATTGGCTTGAAATTCTCTTTTTTTTGTGGTGTCTTTATCTGGTTTTGGGATTGGGGTAATGCCTGCTTCATAGAAAGTGCTTGAAAGTGTTCTTTCCTTTTGAATTGTTTGAAATAATCTGAAGATGATAGGTTTTAGTTCTTTGAATGTCAATAAAACTCCCCTGAAGTTATCATAAATACCATACTTTTTCTGAAAAATAGCTGTTTCCCAAAATAAACTTAAAAGAATGACATTGTTTTTCACTTTTGCATATCTCTTTAATGTCTAGTTTAGTAGAAGAAAACTGAATTCTCATGTGTCTGCATTCAGTCTGTTGTGATATATTATTTTGGTTGAAATTTTATAAAGGATATCAGACTTATCTAGTACTTTAAAAATCTTTCTGATAATTCTGATTATTCTCCTTTAATATTACATCAAAAATAGACAAGTGAGCCCTAGCCAATTTGGCTCAGTGGATAGAGCGTTGGCCTGTGAGCTGAAAGGTCCCAGGTTCGATTCTGGTCAAGGGCACATGCCTGGGTTGCAGGCTCGATCCCCAGTAGGGGGCATGCAGGAGGCAGCCCATTAATGATTCTCTCCCATCATTAATGTTTCTATCTCTCCATCTCCCTTTCTCTCTGAAAGCAATAAAAATATATTTTTTTAAAAAATAGACTAGAAGTTTTCTTAAATATGTATTACAATGTGTAATCGACTCCATTTAACTACATTTTTTTGTACTTCATTACATTAAAATCTATTATTCTGTCTTAAACTTTGATTGAATATTTGATCCATGGTTGATTTTATGTCAGGCATTGCTCTTTGTATAATATTGGATCACTGAGTTACTTAAATCTTCCAAACGTTAACATGTTTCATTATATAATATCAATTATCATGTACATTAACATTATTATGAATATCATCAGTGGTGAATACAAGTTTTCCTAAAATTTAATTTTTACTTGAATTTTATTATTAACAACAAATAATGTCAGTTGTTTTCTTTAGCATGGCAGGTTCAATTTGTCAATTTTCAAGAAAATGTCTACTGAACAGCCAAGTTTAAATGCCCATAGTTTTACAGACATTCTTGCCCATACTTTGCCAGTTATTCTTTAAAATAAAAACAATGTTAAATGGAAAAAATATGCTAGGTTTTGCCCACAGTTTATCACCGACTGAAGTATTTTCAATATGCAGTACTTTATGCATACATTCTACTTTATCACAGTATTAAAAAGACATGCTGAAGGATTGAAATATAATAAAATCATATAACATAATAAAATTTACTGCTGGTGTGTGCTGGTAAAGAAAACAATGATTGCCAGGATAATTTTGACTTAATGCCATTCCTTTGATTTGTGTTAAGATGCCAGCATTTTTACCCTCCACTGCTTTTGTTTTAACCTCATGTGCCTTGGGTGTATTGGAGGCCCTATGTGTCTGTGAACCACACTCAAGAACTGCTTACATGGTTTTATATTTGTAAGGTCACCTCCTGGATTGCAGTACAATCTGCACAGTCTGCATGGGAATTATTTAAACTTAAACATATAAAATCGGGTGTTCTGCTGGCTGGTTTGTTGGTGGAGAGTATGGTTTCAAACCATTATGGGAAATCTTTTCTTTGGGGCTGGTAGTTTTCTCCGAAGAGGAAATCTGCATTCTAGTTGGGAATGGTAGGATGAAGAGTGATTCCTCTGGCTCCTGGGACTATGGATTCCTTTCCTCAGTTTATGGACTTTTATTAATTTTTAAATTTTACTTCTGTTTCTCGTGTCTGCCCTTTGTTGTTGATGGTGTTTGATCACAAGTTTACATTGTGTCCATTTCAGAGTTAACCTTAAGCCACTGTGTAAGGATAGGTATCTGTTGTCTGAGTTAATTGAAAAAGCATTTAGACTTATCAGCAGTCTTTGTGCTTCATTTTTACCTTTTCTGTACTGAATATTGTACTGAATTCCTTCAAATACCAGATTTCTTCGGTTGCCTGGATAAATTGATTCTCTTCTTACCCTTCCCACTCAGATGTTGTGTTGTAACTTCCTCCACACTATGAAGTCAGTTTCCAGTCCTCCAGCCATTTTCCATTTAAAAATTTGTTGAAATCTCTTTGACAATAAGTTTGCTTTGGTGTTTCCTTGGTCTTTATGAGTGAAAATTGTTTCTTTCTTTGCCCTCACTGTAGCAAGGTTTTGGAAAAGTGAGGAAATAAGTGTATGTGATTAATATACCATTATCGCAGGCTTGTTTAGTCATTATACTGGCTAAGAGCTAGATCTGGATTTTCATCTGTATCACTTATTGTGGTATTGCTTTAGTTCTCTACTTAACCTGTGAAGTCTTATTTTTCATTTGTAAAAATAGAATTTATGATATCTAATATGAGAATTAAATGAGATAGTGAATATAAAGTTCTTAACATACTACATGCATTATATGTGCTTATTAATTGATAATTCATAAACTGTTTGGCTGGCCTCTTAAAACTGAGGTTTTATTATATTCCTTAATATAATTCCTCTCCTTATAAAAGATTGGAAATAATCAAAATATTGAATTTGTCTATCATTTATTATTACTTAGTTTGACAATGGAAGGGTTACTGTGACTCATATGAAATGATAATTTTCACAAATGTTTGTATTTAAGTGTCTATACTTAATATGTTTATATAAGAAATAGTATGAATACAACTTGTTCAAATATAAGTTGTCTAAAATTGTAACTAGTTTTCTATTCCAGTAAAATGAATTGAAAGTTGAAAATTCATGTATAACTTTAGACTTACCTCAAATTTAACTATAGTATGATTATTCTTAGGTGTCTGCAGTAGGTTGGTTTCAGGACCTTACTCCCATCCCCAAGGATACCAAAGTGCATGGATGTTCAAATCCCTTATATAAAACAGTATAAAATATTGCATACAGTTGGCCTTCCACATCCCTGGATTCCCAACTGCAGATTGAAAATACTGTTTTTAATCCAAAGTTGGTTGAATCCACCGAAATGAAACCAAGGAATTTAGAGTGCCGACTATATATTTATTGAAGAAAAATATGCATTTAAATGAACCTGCACAGTTTAAACCCGTGTTGTTCAAGGAATTGTGATTGTAATTATGGTCCATATTTGAAACAGAATCTAAAGAAACCAGGTATTTTTATAACTGGATAACTGTTTCATGACTTTGATTCAGAAACTTGTGGTACAAAGAATTTTGTATAGGTTTCTTTAAAAACAATTTTAAAAATTATACTTTTGATAATGAGAATTATCCTAGTTTGTATTTTTAATTAAAAATTATTTTTCTAGTTCCTTGATATATAAGATTGCACACTTAAATTTCTTTTATCCAGAAAGGTTAGTATAATAAAAGTAGTTTAAGCTGATCCATGATGATAAATTATTATTTATCATTTCAGGAAATTGTAAGACCTAATATTGCTGAAGGAGAAACAAAAACATCAAATTCTGAAAGGTAAATATAAGGACAAATTGAATCTCTAATCCAAGTATGTGTATAAAATGACACTTGAGTTGTATTATTGTAGTTAAATAAAGGAGTAAATACTTGAATATGTTATTGATTTTAATAATGACAATTAAAATGAATTTTTGAAATTTTAATATAGCAAAATTATATTACAGATCCCTAATTTTGAAAAACTCTTATACATGTAGAGTATAAAATTGTTTTAAAAGTTTTAAAGTACTAAGTAGTAAGTAAAATTTAACAGATTTTTATTGCCAGTATTAAATGAAAACAGTTAAAATTAGCTACAAGTTACAACATGGGGATAATTATCACAAATAGGTAATTTTAAAATCTCTTCTTTTTTAAGTATTTTTAAAAAGCTTAAAGCTACTTATTTATTTGGTGGCATCTCAACTTAAAGTTTCAAAATTTAGAAATTGGTTTTTAATAATTTAATGCTCAGATAGAACACTAAAAACACAAGACATTCACAATCTTTGAGTAAAAGAATTCCAACTTTCTTATGAGAACTCTTTCCAGATAAACATAATTTTATTTTACCTTTAAATTAAATAATTTCTCCATTTTTAGCTTTCTACTCTATATCTTATAGTAGATTGCTTGTTAATCTCATGAGATTAATCTATTGCTCTTAAAAAAATTATGGAATAAGGTTTTATGAAAGGTCTTAACTTAGCATTTTACATAGAATCCTGTAGGGGAGGGAGAAGAGTTTACTAAAATTTAACTAGAGAGAAAAAGCAGACTAGTCACTTCTGAATTATTTAACATTTTTGTAAGTTGTAGTTAGTCCAAAAAGAGCTGAAGAAAAATAATAATTATACCACTCTAAATGAGGAAAAGTAATTTTTTTTCAGATGATGTAATTGACCTATAAGAGACAAAAAAAGTGAGCTAACATTCTTTTCTATATACCAATAACATCTTTTTTATATACCAGTTACAAAATATAATGGGCAAGAGTAAATTCACAATATTAACAAAAATGAGAAATATGTAAAATCTAAAGAAAAACCTAAAATTTACTGAGATAGAAAGTAATGTATTAATAACTTGCATGGTATGCCATTTGCAAATTAAGTTGTGGGTTTAATGAACACTTAGTTGAAAATTCCAATAACATTTGGTTTGGAAACTGACAAAGTTTAAGGTTCTGATTTCTCTATTTATTAATAACACAATTTATATAATTATTACCCTATTGTTAGTATTAAGATTGTTTACGTACTCACTATTACAACATTATTTTAATGGACATCCTTGTACAAATATCCTTTACACTTTTAAATGATTAGATTTAGAATAGCAGTATAATGAAGGCGGTTTGCTCTATTAAATAACAAAGCACATTGTAAAATGTATAATTGTTAAGACTATGTCGTATTGGCTCAAGAATGGTGTGAAGACAGATCAGCACAAAATGCCTTGCAGAGAAATAACCTTCCTGTATAATAGGTAATATGCAAATTGATTATCACACCCTTGCACAAGATGGCTGTCTCCTGTGGTCACAAGATGGCCCCTCATGTGGTCACAAGATGGCTGCACCCATGTGGTCACAAGATGGCCACCACAAGATGGCCAGCCAGCAGGATAGGGCAGTTAGGGATGACCAGGCCAGCAGGGGAGGGCAATTGGGGGCAATCAGGCTGGCAGGGGAGAGCAGTTGGGGGTAATTGGCTGGCAGGGGAACAGTTAGGCATCGATCAGGCTGGCAGGGAAGTGGTTAGGGGATGATCAGGCTGGCAGGCAGAAGCGATTAGGGGCAATCAAGCAGGCATGCGGTTGGGAGCCAGCAGTCCTGGGTTGTGAGAGGGTGCAGACTGGGCTGAGGGACCATCCCTCCCAACCCCCGTGCCCGAATTTTGTGCAGCAGGCCTCTAATATAAATATAATTTAGTTAATAATTAATATTTGATACCATTGGTTTGATATTTGTCATTAGGGAAAAGTCTAAATTCTGGGTAGATTGATATAAGAAATAAGACTTGTGTTATCATTAATTTTCACTAAAATAAGCATTGTTACATCTAGATAAGGGGCTAGAGATCCTTAGAAGTCTTTTGTTTCTAATGTTTTATTATTTACTAGATAGTTTCTATTAACATATAAGGGTAAGAGTAAACACATAGACACACACTCAAACATACATATACAAACATGCACACACATCTATGAATATATGCATGTATATTTACATATACTTTTCAGGAATATTTTTGTGTTTTCTTTAATTAGATTGTTAAAAATTAGGAAAATATTTGTGAATGCTTATCAGATTTTGCATAGGAAAAGTCTGTAACCATAAGAGGACATATAAGTCATAAAAGAAAAATAGTTATTTTTACATACTGTATTTATTTCTTATTTAAAGTACTCTTAGAAATTAATAACAAAGCATAAATTTTAACCAAAAACAGGCAAGATTCTGGAGTTTTTCATTCTTGCCTCAGAAAATGGCCATGTCCTAAATTGTAATATGGCAAGAACCGTGAACCCGTTTGTTTTTCCTCTCCTTTTTGGTGTGCAAGTGGGCCTTGGCTTTTTTTTTTTTTTTTTTTTTTTTTTTTTTTTTTTTTTTTTTTTAATTAGAGCATGTCTTTATTTTGATAATGTTAAAAATATTGTATTATAAAGCAATAGATAATAAATGGCCTTATCTTTTCAGTAAACATGACAAAACTTCTTCAGAGGAAAAAAGTGGATGTGATGCAAATGCATGTGAAGGCTCATCAGCAACAAAAAATGAAGAAAGCATAATAGTTCCAGATAAGGAAAACGATACCTGTCTTGAAGACAAGGAAACTGGCTCAAAGAATATCTTCAGTTATATTTCAAATACTGGTAAAGATAAAGTGGAAAAGGAAAAACAAATAGAACACATAGATCAGGAAACAGAGTTGAAGATGTGCCAAAGTTCAGAAAACATAATTTCATGTGATCAGATTAAAGATGAAAGCTCCAATGAAACTAGGTTTTCTTCAAAGAATATTAAGGATTTGCGGTTAGCATCTGGTGATGTGAGCATTGATCAATTTTTGAGAAAAAGAGATGAACCTGAATCTGTTAGTTCTGATGTTAGTGAGCAAGGCAGTGTTCATCTGGAGCCTTTGACTCCGTCAGAGGTACTTGAGTATGAAGCCACAGAAATTCTTCAGAAAGGTAATGGGGATCCTTCAGCCAGGTCTGATGAAGTAGTGTCTGATCAAAAAGATGATATTCCTGGAGAAAACAGCCCTCGCACAGCAGAGACAACAGTAGACCTGGCAGATGAAAAGGAAAGAAGTTGAAATTAGTTGTCAGTCTCAGTTTTAGTGTATCAATGGTACAGGCATTCAGATCAGTACTAGCAGGTGAGCTCAGTAGAGTTCAGAGATAGAAAAATGTGAGGCAGTCATTCATACATTTTATTTGTATGTTCAACCTAGGTTATTACAGAAATCAGTTCAATAATAGCATGATTAGTTTGAGTTTCCAAGAGGTTTTAAAACATAAATAGAAAAGCTTCATTTAACAGTTCTCAAGGAAATGGAACTTGGTTGCCAGTATGAATTTATTATTAGAATATTATTTATGTTTATAAAGCAATGAAACTTCCATCAATCCTAAGCTAAAAATCCTTATTACCTTTATATTCTTCTCAATTAACTTCAAAGAATAAATTTGGGAACCATATATGTTTTGGGAATTTTAAACTAATGACTAATTGGCATTGTTAATAAAGCTTTATTTGGAGTATGATGCTGGTAAATGCATAGAGTGTGAAGTTAATGAATCTATTGAGAATTTTGATACACTTAAACAATTTTGGATTTAATATAACATTCCAGACTGTCAGAAGCATGTAAACAGAATATTTGAATCTGTGAACCTCCATACATGTATTAGTCTGCCAGGCTGTAAGCTTACCTTAATTAAACTTTCAGTGAAAGTGAAATTATTAAAACATAAATTTATATTTGTATTTTTGTCAATGTGAGCTGTGCAGAAATCCCTTGATGTTGCTAGTTGTATAAAGTTGAAACCCATTGTTAAAACTCCTGTAGTTATTATGCTTTTAATGTTGTTTTACTGATCTTTAGAAATAGACCCATAAAAATGGTCTGGAAACCAAACCAAAGTATGGAATAATGTAGATATTGTAAAGCAGTCAACTGAAAACATGTCCTGGCATGAATCCAGCCATGTTTAAGTGACATTTTCTTTCATTGTAAAATAGAAACTTCAAATGGGACCTAAAGCAGTGATGTAAAAAATTGTTTTGGGATACTTAGTCTAATTTATCCATAAGATGGCTGCTAAGTTGATTTCTCAGTTGTTTTTAATCATCTAGAAAATAATAGATTTAGAAATGAGTAAATGAATAACTGTAGTTTGCTTTGAAGTACTAATAAACTTTTATTTAAAATGTTACATTTTTATTTCTTAAAATGTGCTTTGAATCTTTAAATTTTGTTTCACTGAATATTAAATGTTTTAAATGTCTGTTAAAATCTGCTGTATATAGTAGTTTTTAAGTAAATATTTCCAATAAAAATATGAACCTGAATAATTTTTATTTCTCAGAAAACTGCTTGAATAAGTTTACCTTTGGCGCCTTTAGAAACTATATTTGTTTAAGGAATTTTCATGTTAGTGGTAGGATTTTATTCTGTATTTTTAATTGGTGTATTATATATCATAAATTAATACTTAAAATACAGGGGAAAATGCTGCTAATATTTATAGAGAATGGACTTGTTTGCTGAATCCTTTCACTTCAAGAGATATATTATTTAATATTACAGTTTTCTATCTGCTCAGTACATTAAAGAGGCTAAATGGCAAAATATATTAACGTATTTTCTTGAATATTTGGGAGATAGAGGTATAAATATTTTCACTTTTTCTGCACCTAAGCAAAAATAGGGAAGAAAGAATCCATTAACTGTCACTCTTAACCTTGTTGAAACATACATCTATATAGCAGAAAAGATTTGGGGAGTAATTTAAATCTTAGAAGACCAGGGAGTAGATAAAAGTTTATTTAAGGACCACTTTCTGAATGTCATTAAGTTAGTTGCCAAGCCTATTCTTGAATCTTGTACCAAAATAAGTCCAAATGACATATAATCCCTTTTGAGCTTTGGGTTGGTTCTTTTTCTGCCTCTGTAAGAATAATGGTATTCAAAATAGTTGATCAGTAAACTGACTTTTAGAGAAAAAGCAAGTGAGGAGAGAAAGAGAAACATTGATGTGAGAGTGAGATTGACTGCCTCCTGTACCCCCCTATTTAGCTCAGGCAATGTGTTGGGAATCGAATGGGCAACCAACCAGCCAGAACCTAAACATTTCTTTTAAAAGAATTGTTAAGATATGAGTTAGCTTGTTTTTGTTATAAGTAGAAGATGAGGAAATCAACTATGTGGGCAGTTAATTTGCTTAAGATTACAAAGCCACAATTGAACTCGATTTGATTCTAAAGTTGTTTTCTATCTTACTTATAGTTCTTATCATTGATACCGAATGCTGCTTATTAAAATAAATATATTTTGCTGAAACTGGTTTGGCTCAGTGGATAAAGCGTCTGCGGACTGAAAGGTCCCAGGTTCGATTCTGGACAAGGGCATGTACATTGGTTGTGGGCACATCCCCAGTAGGGGGTGTGCAGGAGGCAGCTGGTCGATGTTTCTCTCTCATCAATGTTTCTAGCTTTCTATTCCTCTCTTTTCCTCTCTGTTAAAAATCAATAAAATATATATATTTTTTACTTATTAAAAAATTTTGGCAAATAACATTCCCATTGATGGTACGATTATAGTTGGTTTTATTATTTATACAGTTATATGTATATGTAACTTCTTAACCGTCCTAAAGAAAAGGACCTCGCGATCTTTTATAAGCAGGAATTAAGGAATTTTATCTCAAGAGGAGGGATTAGATAATCATTTTGTCACTAGGAAACACAACATGCAATTTAAAGACACGCTTTATAGCCTGGCCGGTGTGGCGCAGAGAAAGATGTGTCTCCTGACCCATTTCTCTTCACCCACTTTCCAAGTCAGGCAGCCGCCAGTCTGTTCTTATATCCAGGAGCTCAGGAATTTTTTTTTTTTTTTTTTTTTTTTTAGATTCCATATATAAGTGAGGTCATATGGTATTTATATTTCTCTGCCTTATTTCACTTAGCATAGTGCCCTCACAGTTATGCATTTAGCAAATGACAAGATTTCACTTTTTTTTTTTTTTTTTTGCTTTTGAAGTTAATTTTTTTTAATTAAGATATTATATGTGTACATATCTCACCATTAAGATTTCACTTTTTAATGGATGAATAATATTCTAGTGTGTTGTATATGTGTGTGTATCACATTTTCTTTAGGTGTTCATCCATCAATGGACACTGAGATTTTTCTATACCTTGGTTATTGTAAATATGCTATAATGAACATGGGTGCATATATCTTTTTAACTTTTAGTGTTTTCAGATAAATATCCAGAATATGAATTGTTGGATCATATGATAGTTCCATATATATATATATTTTTACATCCTCACCAAGGATTTAGGGTTTTTTGGTTTTTTGGTTTTGTTTTGTTGTTCTTGTTTTTTAAAGAGAGGAAGGGGGAGAGAGAAACATTGATTGGTTGCCTCCAATATGTGACCCTAAAAGGAATCAAATCCACATCCTTTTTAGGTGTATGGGACTACACTCCAACCAACTGAGACACCTGGTCAGGGCTGGTAGATCTATTTTTAATTTCTTGAGGAACCTCTATACTGTTTTCCATAGTAGCAGCACTAACTTACATTCCCAGCAATAAAGCATACAGGTTCCCTTTTCTCCATATTTTTACCAATATCTGTCATTTCTTATATTTTTTATAATAGCCATTCTAACAGGTGTGAGGTGATATTGTGGTTTTAATTTGTATTTCCATGATAATCAGTGATGTTGAATATCTTTTCATGTACCCATTGGCTATTTGCATATCTTCTTTGGAAAAATCTTTTTTTAATTTTTTTTTAAATCAAGTCATTATATGTGTACATATCTTACCATTGCCCCCTCCACCCCACTCCCATACATGCCCTCACCCCCCAAAGTTTTGCATCCTTTGGTTATTATATGCATGCATAAAAGTCCTTCAGTTGATCTCATCTACCTCACCTCTCCCTAACCTTCCTGCTATAATTTGAGTCTGTTTGATGCTTTACTGCCTCTGTATCTGTCTTTTTGTTCATCAGTTTATAATGTTTTTTTATTATCCACAAATAAGTGAAATCGTGTATTTTTCTTTCATTGACTGGCTTATTTCACTTGGCATGATGTTCTCCAGTTCATCCAGGTTGCTACAAATGATGAGAATTCCTTCTTTTTTATGGCCGCATAGTATTCCATTGTGTAGATGTACCATAGTTTTTTGATCCAATCATCTGCTGGTGGGCACCTAGGCTGTTTCCAAATTCTAGCTATTGTAGATTGTGCTGCTATGAACATAGGGGTGCATATATCCTTTCTGATTGGTGTTTCTAGTTTCTTGGGATATATTCCTAGGAATGGGATTACTGGGTCAAATGGGAGATCCATTTTTCAGTTTTTTGAGGAAACTCCATCCTGTTCACAGTGGCTACACCAGTCTGCATTCCCACCAGCAGTGCACAAGGGTTCCTTTTTCTCCCCATCCTCACCAACATTTGTCATTGATTGATTTATTAATGATAGCCATTCTGACAGGTGTGAGATGGTACCGCATTGTCATTTTGATTTGCATCTCTCGGATAATTAGTGACTTTGAGCATGTTTTCATGTGTCTCTTAGCCTTCTGTCTTCCTTTGAAAATATTCTATTTAGGTCCGTTGCCCATTTCTTTTATTGGATCATTTATCTTCCTTGTATTAAGTTGTACAAGCTGCCTATAGATTTTGGAGATTAAACCTTAATCAGTGAAAATATTTGCAAATATGTTCTCCCATGCAGTGGGCTTTCTTGTTGTTTTGTTGAGTTATTTCTTCTTGTTGGATTTCTCCCTTTAGTATTATGAAGTGGCCTTCCTTATCTCTTGTTATATCCTTCATTTTGAGATCTAATTTGTCGGATATAAAGTATTGCTGCCCCAGCTTTTTTTTTTTTTTTTCATTTCCATTCTCCTGGAAGACCTTTTTTCATTCCTTCCCCCTCAGTCTGTGTGTGTCTTTTTTTCTGAAGTGGGTTTCTTGTAGGCAGCAGATATATGGGTCTTATTTCTTATCTAACCCATTACCATATGTCTTTTGGTTGGGGCATTTAATCCATTTACATTCAAAGTTATTGATAGGTACTTATTTGTCACCATTTTTATTCTTTACCCTTGTATTCCTTCTTTGCTTCCTATTTCTTCTTTTTTTTTTTCTTTTTTCTTTTTTTTTTTTTCCCCCCAGCAGATCCTTTAGCATTTCTTGCTGATTTTGTGGTAATAAATTCCCTTAGTCCTTTTTTGTCTATGAAGCTCCTGATTTCACCTTCAATTTTGATTGATAGCCTTGAAGGGTACAGTGTTCTTGGATTTAGACCCTTCTTTTGCATGACTTTGTATATTTCATTCCATTCCCTTCTGACCTGATGACTTTCTGTTGAGAAATCAGTTGCTAGTCTGATGGGGTTCCTTTGTATGTAACTTTCTGTCTCTGGCCACTTTTAAGATTCTTACTTTGTCATTGGTATTTGCCAGTTTAATTATAATGTGCCTTGGCATTGGTCTTTTGGAGTTCATTTTGCTTGGGACTCTGTGAGCTTCTTGGATTTGTGTGGGGGTTTTTCTTCCCTATATCAGGGAAGTTTTGTGTCATTATTTCTTCAAACAGGTTTTCCCTTCCTTTCTCAGTTTCCTCTTCTTCTGGAACCCCTATTATGCGGATGTTTTGTTTTGTTTTGTTTTGTGTGTTATTCCAAAGTTCCTTTAGGCTCTCCTCCTGTTTTTTAATTTTTTTTCTAGAAGCTGCTCCAATTGGGAATTTCCCCCCCCCCCCACCTTTTAGCTCATTGATGTGGCCCTCTACTTCTTCTAGTCTTCTCTTTATGCTTTCTATTGAGTTCTTTACAGCAGTGATGTCATTTTTCATTTCTTCTTGGTTCTTACTCATATGTCGAATTTGTCTTCCATTCTTTTTAGCCACCTTATGACCATTTCTCTGAATTCTTTCTCTGATAGGTTGTTTGCCTCTATTTCGTTTACTTCCTTTTCTCTTGATGCCTGCTTTTCTTTTATATGCGGGCTGTTTCTTTGTCTCCCCAAGGTCTTCTCCAGATGTCTAGTTATGTAGTTCTCTCTCTCCTTATCCCAGGCAAAATCTTTCCATCCTTGGATGGAAAAATCTCTCAAATCTTCCCCATTATTTCAGAAGGTGGCTGCCGACAGGAAGGCAGACTGCAAGATAGTGTGAGTGAGAAAAC